AGTGAGAGAGGAGGAGCCTCCCAACCGCATGCGTGAGAGGTAGGGAAGCCAGACAGACTGGCGTCGTAACGCGTTACGTAACGAAGCTCTTTACCCTCCAATAAGAAGTTATCACTTCGAAAACAAGCAACTGAAACGCCATTGATACATAATTATTACTATAACGGCTTCATTGACAACTCCGTTACGTATCGTCATCATCATTTTTGTATGGTATAAAACGCATCCTGTGTTTGTGTCTTTATGTGACGTTTTCACCACTGCGCCCGCATCCTATTCACCCCGCTTAATTAATTACCCGATAATGTTTTGCCTAGTATATTGACGTTGACTATATTATAGGATAACCGTAACCTTTCGACTGTTTATGTTTTTGGTTTGAAGCTTAGTAAAACTCCCAATAACTTATTTTAAGTGTGAAGTTAAGTAACACATCACTGTATCTTTATATATATAATTCTTCTGTGAGTGTGTATGTCACTGAACTTCTCTTAAACGACTGGACCGATTTTGATGAAATTTTTTGTGTGTGTTCAAGGGGATCTGAGAATGGTTTAGATTCACAATTTTGTCCGCTGGACAACCCCTATTTTTTTAGGGCGGTACGAAGTTCGCTGGGTCAGCTAGTTAAAAGTATAAATTTTGGAGTAAAGAGTAATGACATTTTTTTTTCCAACATGGACTTACTTCTCAGTAAATACCCAGTACGTATATGTTTCCCTCAATTATATTGTCTTGTAAACAAATGCAAAGTAGCTTCCCTTAAGGTTAATTTCCTAAAGTGCTACTACGAAATGAAGTAGCTCTCTGTGAGTTAATAAAATAAGTATTTAAGTGCTCATTTCATTTACTCGTAACATGTAGAAACTTTGAAAGCTTTTGTTTTTAGAGGTTAGTGCTCCCACACATAACTGCGAATTCGCATCGCATCGCAAATATCTGCGAGCTCTTACTGTACACCGCAAGAACTTCCGATCTGGTGCGCATCGCACCTTTCTGAGATATTACGTCAAACTTGGTGATATTTTGGTCCGCTCTAAGCCGCATTCGTGGATTTCTTTATGCCTAAAGGTTGATTGGCAGATAATGCTTTTAGCGTTAAGTCCGCCTTTTGTCCATTTTTGTAATTGTGGCAATAAAGTTTAAATAAATAAATAAGATTTCCCTTGTACGATCATTTTTATAGACATGGTGATAATAAACACAAAAGCTTTTCAAATGAAGATATGCCCATTCTAAAATAATAAAAAATAATTATCTTACTCTGTTCTCAAACCATAGTATTTCAAGCGTTCATAATCAAAATAAATGGATGAACCCAATTCTTCTATATCTATTTAATAATAAGAGCAGTGCAATAATCGTTTTGCGATCCATGTCATTATTACTACAGCACGTCCAATACGGCTGACTACTGTTGAAGGTATGATCACCTTAACCAAATCTTTGTCGCACAATAATGGCATCGCTGCAATTCGCATCGCAAGTGCCTTTGATGGGACGTCGTATTGCATCGCATCGCAGTTTTGTGTGAGACAACGATTTGATTAACTATAGAACCCACACTTGGCCCCTACGGCCAACGATAGTTAATCTGGTCGTTGTGGCCATTGTGCGTGGTCTTGGCCGTCTAGAGCGCGAGTTGCATAATATATTGTGTTTACTAGCTACTGCACCTGACTTTGACCGTTCATCCCTGTTACCATGCCAAAATTGATCGTAATATATCCATCCAGCAATTACTTTCGAATTATACTTAATATTGGTATGGCGATATATTTATGTGATTCTAAGAAAGGACATGGATTTTGCCCCGAAAAAAAAAAGGTTTGTGAAAGTTGTCAAACTCTGAATGGATGTTGGTGGGACCGCCCAATTTGGTTCAATAAAATGTAATCATTGTTTCAGTTGAAAATGTAGAAATGCGCTAACCATATCGGTTAGAAATAAAAACCTTACGCTTTTGAAATAGCAAGGAATATGCAAATTGAGCTTCGTCAAAATGCATAATTAATAATAAGTATGCGTCTACCCACTGTATTACCCACTTATATATATATATATATATATATATATTTAAATATATGTTTCAATTTATGAGTAGTGTGCGCGACCATAGGAAACAATTTATCCCAATATTGATGCTGATTGTTGCTACATAAAAATTAATTGCAACACAACTTTTTCAACGGGCTTATAAATCGTCGACCTTTACCGAATATTGTCTCCTTTCTCAGTCATGACGTGGGCATAACCCACTTTACATTCATGAGTTTTGGTTCGGATGAGTTGACGGCGCCGTTGCCCTAAGTGCGTGGTTGGTTACTGATTCGTTTGACCTTCTGAGGCAATCGTGGCACGTCCGCCCGCGGCCAATGCTGTTGCATAACTGGCGTGTGTTACAGACAGTTACAACAACATTCGGCACGCAGGTTAGTTGTTTTTTTTATTGGCAGCGTTGGCGCCAATGAAGTTTTTATGTAGACATCTTGTGTATTTTCTTGCCACTGACATAGTCCTTTTTTTCCTGTAAGATAGCCTTAGTGCACTCCTTCCAAAAACGGGTGATCGTTCAGACCCATCAAACTACTGACCCGTTGCTATTACATCTCTGCTTTCTAAATTGATGAGCGCATCATCAATTCGCAGCTCCTAGAATACATTGAGAGGCACCAAATGATCAGCGACCGTCAGTATGGCTTTCGACGTGTTCGATTGGCTGGTGACTTGCCTAACGTACCGATGGGCAGAGGCCACTGTCAGCTTTGATATCGCGAATGCATTTGATCAGGTCTGACACAGGGCACTTCTATCGAAGCTCCCACCATAGGGGCTCTACGATGGGTTATGCAGTTAGATTGCCAACGTTCTTTCAGGCCGCAGCATACGAGTCGTAGTTGACGGCGTCTGCTCCGACACTAAACACATTAATGCGGTGTCTCACAAGGATCAGCTCTGTCGGCCACACTGTATATTTCGCTTAATTATCAATGATTTGTTAGTAATTTACAACAATATTCATTAAGCGGATGACAATACTGTAAAAGGTGTAAACTTTCACACCGGTCTTCTAAATATCCCCCGGACAGGAGTGTAGATACAAACTTGTGTAGATTGAGTCGTTCTAGTTCAAGTCTCAAATTGGGGCCGGCGAAATTTAGACATCTAATCCGACAAAGACACAAATGGTTGTGTTCACCGCGAAAACCCCCAATTAGTAGGAGCACCTTATTTCCAGAACACCCAATGCTCTTCTTTTCATGATAATAATATGTATCTTGTTCTGTTTTGCGTGCAATTAAAAATATATAAAAAAGTGTACAGAAATTATGCTAAAAATCAAGTACAATAGTTTTTTTTATCTTACTGAAGTAATTTCCTTATTTTTAAATACATGACATTGTTTCCTTGTACACTGCTAAATTTGTGTTGATCTTAAAAGCATAATGTTCTAAAGACAATATATCTGATTAAATTTATATTTTTATCTGATATGTCAGTCTTCCTTGTTACCCCAGAGTTTTCTGATAATCGAGATATCTTCTATATCGTTAGGCAATTTTGGCAATGTATTATAAGTTAGAAAAAAGTATAGTGTTTTACTGATGCCCAAAGGGCCTTATACTGGTATGATTCGCAAGAATTAAAACTCAAAGGACAATGGGCAAAACACACCCAGCTCCGCAAATAATGTAATTGATATGAATCGATAGATCTATGAAAAATTAGCCTTTTTTATTATGACACCGAAAAAAAATATCCTGGTAGTCAAAAGATATGACACATGGACATATTTAAGTAGCTAAATAAATTCAATTAGTAGTACATTCATTTTGTATTATTAGTAACCATAATAATAATATGCCATATCGTACTATACAACCAGATATACGACAAAGCTTGCCGATAATCCTGCGCTTGCACTTACTGAGCCACCACAAAACGGTTTACGGGGGTTGAAGGACTTGCAGTTGCAAAAAGTCGACTCGGTTTACTTCGTTGTGATTGTGCGCTTCCTGACACTTGATTGATTTTTATCAAACACGCTTTGACCATTGGGACACGATTATCGGTTTTGTCAATTAGTATGGATGAACTGGAATCATGTGGACAAGTATGTGTGATTTGAGGTCGCTCCGTTTTACATAGAAGACAATTTACTATAAGGAACAGAGTGTTTGAAAAAACCCCAACCATGCGGGGATTTTTGGATTTACTCTAGCGCGGCAGAACAAAATAAGGGGACACCCTTGCACCTTGTGAAGTACTCCCATAATACCTGAGCCCTTTATGTAGGGTCGAATTAACAAACTTAATTAATTCCCTAGTTTCATTAATGTTCTTTCATTATACCTAATCATTATTACATTATAGTACTTGTACCTATTTAACTTCATAACTAAAGACCTCCGGGATGGAATTTGATGCGCTTTGGCACAGATGATCATGACTGTAATACCTTTCAAACAAATGTAGTTTAAGCCGTGGCGGACGTGGGTGCAGCGTCCATACATTTTTGCCCATTGTCCTTTATCTTTTTCATTCTCTAAAGAATATCCTATTAAGAATATTTATCATAATAAATAAGAATATTCGATATATAAATTGAGTTTTACTTTAAAAATCTGGCCAGAATCAGGCCCATTATGTTGTCTTTGTATACGTCTAGTTTAAATATTTTGTATTATAATTTAATCATACACATTATTTGCATTATAGACACTATAAAATTACATATATGTGTTTGTTTCTATACTATAATTTTAACGGGATTACTATAATTAATAGTCGCTGTCTATGTCAAATTGTAGGTGTAGGCTATATAGTTGTATTTTATACAAGAAGCGCCAAATGACCACTGCATTTTTGGATTTAAGTTACACTTCCAGCCAGTCTAAAGTTTAATAGTTATACTAACTTCCTTCTGTGTTTTTGTTCTAAATGATAATGATGTTCTTAATATTGCCGCGCTATTCTCAACGTAACCTTTCCCTCCACAGCGAGCAGTCCATAAGCAGCGCGCGCGCCTCCGTGATGGTGTACGACGACAACGTGAAGCGATGGATACCGTCAGGGTCGAGCGCGGGCGTCTCCAAAGTGCACATATACCACCACACACAGCACAACACCTTCCGCGTGGTGGGACGCAAGTTAAACGACCACGAGGTGAGTTCAATGACATACCTAGTAATCCATAAGCAGTGCTGATATCAGTTCGCCTCTTAATTTTTGGGGGTCTGCGCCTGACTAGCGTTGGCAGTTAGGGCTAGCTTGCCTTGAGCTCATAGATATAAAGAATGAAATGATCGATACTCTAGTATGAAATTCACAAATCTATAGAATGAAAGAAATCGATGGTGCAGTCAAATACCATGTGAGGCATTTGCTTCTCTAACAAATTATTGGAAGAACGATCGTTTCGTCGCACTACTAAAATTTTGACATGCAAAGGATTTCGAGTATTATTCTATCATGTATATAATATATATATGTGCTAGTATATAGTGTAGTAATATTCTGAGTTCGTATAAAAATAATGAACCTTATCCACGCAAACTGGGACGGATGGTATCGAGATAGTTCCTTCTCTACTTGCCTATTGATCATTGCTCTAGCCACGTTGTTCAATTCTATTTTCTCATTGTAACCCATAAACATCTTCTCTCTGTAATTCTTGCTCCTAACGTATTTTCAGGTGGTGATAAACTGTGGCATAGTACGCGGACTGAAGTACAACCAGGCGACTGCGACGTTCCACCAGTGGCGAGACGCGAGACACGTCTACGGGCTGAACTTCTCATGTCGCGAGGATGCTGACAGCTTCGCCAGGGCTATGATGCACACCTTGGAGGTACGGACCTAGATAGACCAATTAGGGACCAATTTACACAAATCGATCAGGGGCCCTGCATAGCTAGACTTGACTTTCCGTGTCGCGAGGACGCTGGCAGCTTCGTAGAGCCATGATGCACACTTTGGAGGTATGGACAAGAACCTAGATAGACCAGTCAGGAGCCTAGTTACAAAGCTATAAACCAATCAGGCGCCTAATCTCTATGCTAGACCTTTGATTTCTCATATCTAGCTGTGTAACCAGACACGTATATTTGCTGAACTTCTCGTGTCGCGAGGTCGCTGACAAACCTAGATAGACCAATTAGTGGTTTAGTTACATAGCCAATAATTTCGCCGGGGCTACGAATCATGATCCATATCGACTAATTAGGGGCCAAGTTGCACAGCTGTAGATCGATCAGCCCCTCTAGCATGACCACCGAAACGGGATATGTTATAGCGATATATCGGCATTAACTGTCAGATTACTATGGAGACTGACAGTTAATATCGATACATCGCTTTATCATATCCCGTTTCGGTGGTCATACTAGAGGGCCAGGAGCCCTGCACAGCTAGACTATTGACTTCTCTTGTCGCAAAGATGCTGACAGGTTCGCAGAGGGCTATACTGGACACCTTGGAGGTAAGAACAAACCCAAGTAAATCAATCATGGGGTTACGCAGCTAGGCCGGTGACTTTCCTATTTTCGAGGAGATGACGCAGAGAGCCAGGTTAATGCTGCATACTTTGGATGGATCAATCAGGGGCCTAGTTACACTGCTAGAGTTATGCTGCACACCTTGGATGGACCAATCAGGGTCTAGTTACACAGCTAGAGTTATGATGCACACCTTGCATGGACCAATAAGGGACCTAGTTACACAGCTACATTTGTGATCTGTCACACCTTGGAGGTACGGACCAGGACCTAGACAATCAGGCGACTGTGGCAGTTCTATGTGAGGTATTGGGGATGGTAATTATAAGTGGGGCGTGTAGATGTTGCCGCCACACACACCTTGTTGGTACGGATACGGACCAGAATCTAGATAGACGGCGTTACCTTCGCCTAGCATATTCATTCACCGAACTGTGTCTATGGCCTTTTGATTATAAAATAAGAGTACTATTCTTTTGGGTGAGGAGCTCGATGGCGCGGGTGCCTAGCGCGTTCGGATGCGATCGTTGAAGTTAAGCAACTTTCGCAGTGGTCGGTCATTGGATGGGGGACCAAAAAAAAAATCTCGAGTTCCTCCATGCTTCGGAAGGCACTTTAAGCCGTTGGTTAAATGATGATTCTTTTGGGTACTATATGTCAACATTTCAGCTCCATGTTTCGGAATTCTTGAAAATGTTGCCCCCTTTCCGTTTCAGATATTGGCGAACAAACCGGCGGGCAATTCGGCGCCGCCGCCGCCTCAGCCGCCGAACCCGCCGGCGCCCTACAACGGTCACAACAACAACACGCACAACTACGACGAGGATATGGGATACAGGTAATAAGGGGCCCATTAAATTTATTCTTTAACTACCTCCAACATTCATCGTCATCATGTCAGCTGTACGACGCCCACTGCTGAGCATAGGCCAAGGATCTCCACACCGATCGGTCCTGCGCCACTCGCATTTATAGGCTTCCCGCGACCTTCACAAATCGGAGACAATTTTTTCTAGGTTTCGCTTTCATACCAGTACCCCTAGCACGAACCAAAATCGAATTCGTAACGTTTGCGAGTCCGAAATGTCAGTGTCAAATGTGTACTGATTTTTAGTTCCCGTTACGTCCAAAGTGGCGTTGCTGTTCAAGTTTCCATACAAAATTTGACATTGACATTTCGGTTTGCGAACTATTCAAATTTAAATAATGGTTCGTGCTAACTGTACAGTTCTCGCATCTACTTCTCGTACTTGAATACTTCATACAATCCTATCATACATCTCGCATTTGCTTCTCTAACGGGGGGAATCACCACGCCTATCTCTTTTATATAGTCGTGTGCCGCGCTTGACGCATTTCCGTTTCATCTTTTCCGTAGGATTTTTTTATTTAAACCCCGTCAGAAAAGTTGTTTCACTTCAATGAATAAACTAATTATGTCATTTTTAACTAGACGAGCAATTAGCTAATGATTCTCTTAATCCGCTAATGGCACTTTGGGCTATATTGAACTCGGACTAAATGCGAGACTGGCATGTTAACGATGGGTTCCGTAGCAAAGTACAATATTTGAAAGTAGATCAATCAAAACAAGCCTTGCAAAATACGATTCCTGTGTCGAGATTTTATTTATACTATTTGTTGTGATAACGGATATAGTGAACAGACAGATAGATGATAGTAGATACAGTGAATAATTAATTAATATTCTAATATTAATTAATTACATAAATTCATTTTTCTTTGACATTTGGTTTAGATTACTTTTTATTTTATTTATAATACAATTTCAATATTTAAAAAACACACATTGATTGAATCTTAAAAAATAATTTAACTAACATAGCATTTAAGTTAAATGTTACTAACGATTTAATGGACCATTTTGTTGTCTGTAATAAACAATTTGAATTTGAAGTGGATACATTCTGCGAAAATTTCACGTGACTACCTTTTTTCGTTCAAGATATACAGGGCGTCCCACGGGTTTATCACACGGAGGGAAAGTGTAATAAATATTGAAGCTAGGATATTTTACTGAAAGAAGACATCATTTTATTTTTAATAATAAGTAGTACTGCATTCACAGTTTTTAAAAAATCGTCATTTGTTTTTTTTTTCAAATTTCACGAGCTTGATTCCCAGTTGTAGCAGGCGATTTTAAAAAAATCTGAGAATGCAGTTCTCGTTATTATTAAAAATAATATCTTCTTTCAGTGAAATATCCTATCTTCAATATTTAATATAATTTCCCTCCGTGTGATAAACCCGTGGGACACCCTGTAGAGCTATGTAGCCATTTAATAAAATAGATGGTGACGGTCGATTCAGGCTGATTCTCTAAACCTTAAATTAAATTTAACAACGATGTATCTTTGTTAATCTCTATACGAATAAAAAAGGAGAGAAGGCTGTTAAATTTCAAAATTTTAAGTTTCTAAATTAGCCAGAATCGACGACTTACGGTGCCCTAGAAACAGGGTGAAAGCTGCTGTATTATTTGTTTAGTATTTTGATTCTGTTCATCGGATTCTTAAAAGTCATTTGGGTGATAGATACAAAATACAATGCTTAATATCTTTACCATGATAATGTACTTCATTTAATAATGGTTGTTTACATAATTGCAATCTTTGAGCGAGTGCTTCAGTAGAGTCGTTCGCTTCGGTTCATTTGCAAGTGCTTATATATAAGTAATCAGTGTAAACCCGTTTTTAATAAGTGTAAGTTTAAGTACAAGACGTTAGTATACTTTTGATTCTGATTAAGTTTGCTGTAACCACGTAGCGTAAGACAAGATGTGACTTTAAAATATAACATGTATTTTCTGTCTTCAGAATTCTCAGTGTTAGTGTTTTGAAAATCCCACGGAAATCTCATATTTTTCCAGTGCAAAAAGTACCCTTTGCCTCAATCACAGAAAACAGAAAGAGGTTAGAAAGGTGAAAATAGACCGTTTGTACGGGAACTGATGTCGCCGGCTCGCCCCCACTAAACTTCTACCTTATAAATGGCGCTGCCTTGCAGCTTAAGGCTAGAGAAAATTCTACACGGCCGTTCTACAGGGCTGCGGTAGCATAATGGTCAATACATTCGCCCGGATAGCGAAGGGTGCGGGTTCGAGTCCCGTCTGCTGCCTGCTCCGCGGGAATTTTATCTAGTAAAATTTTCTTTAAATTATTTATTTGTGTTCTTCGTAGAACGATGACGCGAGAAGATGCGGCGATACTGCAGCAGCCCGCCTACCATCAGCCTCACAATCCTCCCGCCCAGTACCACGCACCGCACCATCACCATCAGGTGAGATAAAAATACAGGTTACGCTTTTTAACCGACTTCAAAAAAGAGGAGGTAGGTTTTCTGATAATAATGAAATGTTGCTTGAACTTTATAATTTCTGTTTATTTAATAATGTTAATATATTTATGTGTTTATTGAGTATTGAGTGATTCAAGCCTTAATACCAGAGCTGATTTCTTTTTGTATATTTTTTTCTTAGATTATATCGAATTTAAAAATGATTTATTACATTGTACAAGTCCAGAATGCTTTACGTCAAATTTAATAAAAATCTGTAAAATTTACCCAGCTTTATAGAGTTTGACACAAATTTATATATTCACAATTTGGTTAAGAAAAATTGACAGTTTGTGATAATTGATCGGGGCTGATTGTGCAATACGTCTGATCATTAATTTATTATTGACTGTATGGGATACGGCAAGGTAGTGGCACTAATTTTACTAAAGATTTATTATTTAGTTACCTAAATAACGATCATTAATTAGGCCTGTCCGTCACAAGATGTAGCGATCGACATTATGGTAACACCGAACTAAAGACGTTTGGAGTTACCATATTAAGTGATCGGTTACTTACTTTTATTTCCATTAAACAGAAAATTTGATCATTCGTTCTTATCGGTCATTGGTACCTTATTAAAATTAAGAGAAGGGCAATTTTTACTAACATAATCATTCCTATGTTTGGCTTGTTCCATTTTTTCATGTACACATGTAGATTTATTCACACACTATATAATTTCTTAACTCACCCATGTTCACATTTCATTCATTCTCATTTCATTTTCACCGTAGGAACGGCAGCCGCAATACCACCCGCAGACCAGTCAGTACCACGCCCCTCAACACCAGGTTTGTATCACAATGCAGTATAGTGCGATTCAAATAAGAATAGGAAAGCCAATGCACTCCATCTGTCAAATGTCATTTGAAAAGTACGGTTTGCAAAAAAATCTTGGAACCCTTTTTTAGCACTCGTTAATTTTAGAATAAAAACCAAACATTAGTAAACAAACAATAACAAATATTGATAATTTATATTGTTTGTTTTTTTTTCATTTATTGTGCTTTGGCTATAACTAGTTGATAACCTAAATTGTCAACTAAATGTCACTTTAAGTTACGTTTATAAATTCGATTTAAAACTTTCGTTTACTTAAAGGATGCATATTCGTATGTGACCTAGTAATATTGCATGATTATTCATCTACTCCGGCGGTAATGCAGAGATGAGCGGAATTGAAGAGCAAGATTCTGATTAATGTTTTTTCTCACACGGTCTTAATAAATTAATATTATTAAAAAACGGTTGACTTTTTTTCTCAATGTTAGTAATTTTTTTATAAAATCTGATGTTTTTTCTCACTTAATCTTAGTAAATCAATTTTATTAAATAAAATCTTTTTTTTTTGCTCACTCTACCTATTTGGTTTGAACTGACAGCTATGACGTCACAATATGGCGCCCAGTCGGTCCTATTCTTAGTGGAATCGCATTATAAGGTTCGAAATCGCACCGCCACTCACCATTTTAGATATCATAGTGGTAGTATGACGAAAGACTACATATTTCAGCATTTTAACTTTTCATGGAGGTATTTGATTTTATAAAGTTAAGTTTATTTATGGCAAGACTTGAAGATTACAGGCGTTTTGTATTATTTTGTTAAGCACAAATAATAACAAATAAGTACAGTACAATACCCGTAGCACGAACCAATATCGAATTCGTAACGTTTGCGAGTCTGAAACGTCATTGTCAAATGTGTATCGATTTTTAGTTCTCGTTACGTACTTAGTGACGCTGCTATTTAAGTTTCTATACATAATTTGACATTGACATTTCGCACTCGCAAACTATTCGAATTCGATAATGGTAGGGGTACTATGGAGTTCTACCCAGAAGGGATAGAACCTGGGGACGTTATTTATAAGTTATTTATTTTGTATTATCATTCAGGCGAATATAAAATATTTAATCTAAATACGAGAAGTTTTCTTGGTGCCTGAAGATCTAATAATGAATGGAATCTTCTATCAAAAGACAGACGATTCCTTATTTCAAATCTTAAAATCATGACATTAACTTTTTAATATAACTGCCAACCGTAGGCATTGCAAAAGCAAAGAGTTTACCTAAACAAGGAGGTTGTAACATCACGGACGTTACAGTACTGTACTAGTACGAGTTTTACAATTACGAAAACTATGATAGTAGTTTTCGTGAGCTCGCAATCGTCCTAAGGGTATTTTATTGTTTTCGTTTCAATACAAATAAACAGTTTTTAAATTCTATCATTAAATCATTTGCGTCTTCTTAAATTTTAAGTATATTTGGTTACTTTTCAACAAAATGGACTTAAAAACATAATTTACAATTACGAAAATTATGATAGTTTTCGTGAGCTCAAACTCGTACTAAGGGTATATTGTTGTAGAGTACTTCTTTCGTAAACCCTTTTATTTCATATTGAATTGTTGTATCTTGTTGCTTTTACATTTTGACGTGATAACGTCCTTTAAATCGATGGATACCGGCTGCACACACGAAAAAGTGTGACGTTATGTCACGTTAGTTCAACCGGAACAAAAAGCTTTTTCAAAAGTGCCCCGAGGAAAAGAGTGAACGACACGGTATTGTGTAAAAAGTATCGTCCGTAAACTGACAGACAACCAATTTTTTTAGATTTGAAAGTGACCACAGATTGTCAAACAAGTAAATTAGCCACCTAGTTTAGAGATCATTTTATTGTGTTTTTACTCTGTTTTAAAGACTTATCTGTTTAAAAAAACTTTTACTTCAAATTAATTCACGAGATCCAGGCAATAGACGAAACGGGAAAACTTTTTTCTAGTAAAATGTTCTTGAAATTTAATGCCCATTTGCAGCAATTTTGGTTAATTTCAATTTGACAAAAACTTTATTAAATTCACATTGACGTATCATGTTTGATCATTGACAAATCTTGATATAACTACGCAGAATTAGTTCCTAGATATTGTAGTTTTTAAATATTTTCTATGGTTTGAATTTCGTTTTAGTTGAATCGAGATTTAGAAGCAAGTGGGCCTTAAACTTAATATTAGTTAAACGATTGTAGCGTAATTTTGTTTGATCAGTTTTTTGGTTTGTCCCACAGCAACCGCAGCCCCCCCCGGCGGCCCCCCTGGCCCCCGCGGCCCCCGCGCCGCCCCCGCACGGCACGCACCACACGCTGCCCCACCAGCCCGCGGCCGCGCATCCCACGCACCCCACGCACCACCGCACCAGCAGGTAGGACACCGGTGACCCATCCCCCGCCCCCGCACGGCACGCACCACACGCTGCCCCACCAGCCCGCGGCCGCGCATCCCACGCACCCCACGCACCACCGCACCAGCAGGTAGGACACCGGTGACCCATCCCCCGCCCCCGCACGGCACGCACCACACGCTGCCCCACCAGCCCGCGGCCGCGCATCCCACGCACCCCACGCACCACCGCACCAGCAGGTAGGACACCGGTGACCCATCCCCCGCCCCCGCACGGCACGCACCACACGCTGCCCCACCAGCCCGCGGCCGCGCATCCCACGCACCCCACGCACCACCGCACCAGCAGGTAGGACACCGGTGACCCATCCCCCGCCCCCGCACGGCACGCACCACACGCTGCCCCACCAGCCCGCGGCCGCGCATCCCACGCACCCCACGCACCACCGCACCAGCAGGTAGGACACCGGTGACCCATCCCCCGCCCCCGCACGGCACGCACCACACGCTGCCCCACCAGCCCGCGGCCGCGCATCCCACGCACCCCACGCACCACCGCACCAGCAGGTAGGACACCGGTGACCCATCCCCCGCCCCCGCACGGCACGCACCACACGCTGCCCCACCAGCCCGCGGCCGCGCATCCCACGCACCCCACGCACCACCGCACCAGCAGGTAGGACACCGGTGACCCATCCCCCGCCCCCGCACGGCACGCACCACACGCTGCCCCACCAGCCCGCGGCCGCGCATCCCACGCACCCCACGCACCACCGCACCAGCAGGTAGGACACCGGTGACCCATCCCCCGCCCCCGCACGGCACGCACCACACGCTGCCCCACCAGCCCGCGGCCGCGCATCCCACGCACCCCACGCACCACCGCACCAGCAGGTAGGACACCGGTGACCCATCCCCCGCCCCCGCACGGCACGCACCACACGCTGCCCCACCAGCCCGCGGCCGCGCATCCCACGCACCCCACGCACCACCGCACCAGCAGGTAGGACACCGGTGACCCATCCCCCGCCCCCGCACGGCACGCACCACACGCTGCCCCACCAGCCCGCGGCCGCGCATCCCACGCACCCCACGCACCACCGCACCAGCAGGTAGGACACCGGTGACCCATCCCCCGCCCCCGCACGGCACGCACCACACGCTGCCCCACCAGCCCGCGGCCGCGCATCCCACGCACCCCACGCACCACCGCACCAGCAGGTAGGACACCGGTGACCCATCCCCCGCCCCCGCACGGCACGCACCACACGCTGCCCCACCAGCCCGCGGCCGCGCATCCCACGCACCCCACGCACCACCGCACCAGCAGGTAGGACACCGGTGACCCATCCTGTACCTGACCATTGTGGAGGGTGCTGCACTTTTGTAATCTAGCTTCGAGAAATTTAATCATATTGAGAGCCGCACCAGCCAGCACCACCCTCGAGCCACCGGACCAGAAGGTGTAGAACTGATCATTGTGAAGGTTGCTGCACTTTTGTAATCAATAGGTGTCATCGACGAACAAATGAAAGAATCGTGCCCTCGCAATACCGCACCAACAGGTCGGTCACAGGTCACCCATGCAGTAGCTGACCATTGTCAACGTTGCTTCACTTTCATTTTCACCAGACGGACACTTAGAAACATGTCACTTGACATCATAATTTTTTTTTTTAACTTTTGATAATTTTTCAAGTAAATAAGTTGATTACAATTTACTCTTCCTACGTTGACATCAACATTAAAATGGCATATCTTTTTGCTCTCTTTCCGTTTATAATATACTAGCTGTGCCCCGCGGTATTACCCGTGGTTTATAATAGATATTTTCCCGTAGTAAAATGTAACCTATGTGTTAATCCAGGGTGTCAGCTAACTCCATACCAAATTTTATTAAAATCGCTCCAGCCGTTTAGACGTGAAGAAGTAACAAACATACACACTCACAAACATTCGCTTTTATAATATAAGTGTGATATGTTATTAATTATGTAGTATATAGTATCTTTTGTTTTCTTACTGCACAATTGTTTTGTCGTATTGTTTATGTTCAGATGCCTGTTCAATAAGAGTGACACAATAACATATTTGTGGATATAATATATAGTTATAACTTTTTATATTTTTGTTAATATTGTCATTAATGAATGAGTGGCATCGTTACTGATAAATGCGTTGATCCTACCACTTTTCTCTAAACCTCAACTTAGAATTGACCAAATTTTGTCGTTAGTTGTACAGAATGAAAATGAGGGACTGCTGTTAAATATAGTTTTAAGTTTAAAGAATTGCGCTATAATGGACGCCATTGTTTTAAATTTTCATGGTCACTAAAATTATGTACCTTGTTTTTTATGAGTATCCGATATTTCGGCACTGCTGCAAGCGCCATGATCACAGAAGTAATTGCGGGTAGATGTTATTGGCAGACATATCGGTGTACCCTCTGAATAAAATATACGTTAGGCATTGACATCATCGTTATACTGAATTGTCTATATTGTTGTGTTGCAGCGCCCCCATGCCCCCCAACATGTCTCTAGCGGCGGCCCCCGCGCCCCCACCCGTGCCCCCACACCAGAATTTGCCCCCACAGCCTTCGAACAACGTGAGTATTCCACTAAGAATAGGGATAACTTACTTTGATTTTAAAGAAAATTTTGTATGTCGTAAAAAACGTGTGCGTCTCGAGACGCACGACAGAAGTGATAACTTAAACTATCCTTTTTTGAGCACAGGATATTGGTATGTGAAAAGGGGATTGGTGGGTGATAGTGGAGATTGATGGGTTATAAGAGGATTGATGGGTGATAAGGGAATTGATGGGTGATAATAAGGGATTGGTGGGTGATAAGAGGATGGATGGGTGATGGTGGGAATTGATGGGTAAGGGAGTGGTTTGGGGTCTGGGGTCACCCCTCTGGTACCTGGGCGGGCTGTGACGTCTATCTCCTTGGGCGGGTGCGCCGAAGGGAAGCCAGGCATACTGGCGCCGTAACGCGTTACGTAACGAAGCGGTTTACCCTCCCATAAGACGATATCATTTCAAAAATCCACGCGGACCTGGCAGAAGTCGGGACTCGAAACCGCACCTTTCGCTATGCGGCCGGATGACGTGTCGAATTATTTCAAGTATTTCTTAGGCAGCAAGGCAGCGCTACTCATCCCATTGTATGTCAAACCTTTACAAGTATTAAACATTTGAAAGAAGAAATAGCAATTGTAGTTCAATTTTTATTTTTAATGCTAGATGTTTAAATCTAAAGAAAATATTACTAGTAATAATCCACGCGATTAATCAACGAATAATTTCTAGTAAAAAAAATGTTGACCATTCTTTTTTGATTATCTAACCGACAGACTAAATAGGATTTCATTAAGTTTACCACGTCGTCTCCCATATTTTTAATTGGCTAGTAGCTACCTTCTCAAAGCACATTATGACATTACCCCCACTCTCACATCGTGTAGCCCGGTAAAAAAAGAAGATATGTACTTGATTGGACACTTTTTAACGTGTATTGAGCATGATTTATATTCCACATTTAGTATTCCACTATAAGGTTATGTCTTATTGTCTGTGCAATAAGTTTGAAAATGCCTTTCTCTTAAAGTCATGTTTCGTTTCGTTTTAATAGGATATTTGACAGTATGAAAAATAATGTACCAATTGTTGGCATTTGTATTTAATATTGATATAAGCAGCTGTTTAAGTATTTTGAAAACAAAATAATTACATAATAACTTTTCTATAAAATCATTAAATAGAAATGATTGTTTTGCTCCATGGTCACGTGGCCGAAAACGCCTGGGATTGGCCAAGACTAAAATGACGTCACACGCTAGTAAACTTCCGGCCAAAGTGACATTACATTGTATCGTTTGACGTTTTAATGACAATCGTGTGACGTCACACACTAGTAAGATGCCATAGTGCCCAGAGAAACATTTTCGCGGCAACTTGAAAATTTAATTTTTGATTTAGTTATTTTGACTGAATTACACAACAGAATTAAAAATATCCACTTTTTATTCACTCCATAAACATAAGTTAATAACGTGTGATCTTTTTCTAAAAGTTGTCAAATACCCTATTACATATATTATGTTACAGTTTAGTATAGGAGGTTATGACTAATCATGCTCTCTTAAAAATCTCTTCGTTCGTGTCGCGTGAGACGGGTCGTTACGTTTCCTAAAATATGGTTTAACGAAGCGATGGCTGTTTTATGCGTCATGCTCGTGAACGGGTGCTGCAAGCTTGTATGAGTCTGTTCTATACTGCGTTACTATTGAGATGTTATCTATCATACCTAATATTTAATGATTAATACCTAATATAACACTCTTTATATTAATACTGTATGATACGGCAATCAAAATGTGAGTGGGTGTTGTTTTGGTAGCGACGTGTCTTTTTTTGTAAATGTTGCTACTTCTGTTAAATGCTGATGAGTTTCTTTCGCCCATTCTTCTCATCAGCTAAAAGATGTCCTAAATGGGTGGTAGGAAAAACTATTGGACGATTTAAAAGAGTTTTCAAAAAGTCTATTTGAATAAAATATAATTTCATTTCATTGACAGGGTCCCATTGGTCCGCCCACACCTCCCGCCGCCCCACAACCACCGCCAATGGTCAACAATAACGTTAACGTAAGTGATGAACTATTCTTTATATTTACAATAATATTCTTTATTGCATAATGGCGCGATTTCACTTGGTCGTTAGCCCGAATACGAATGCCAATGGAATTCGGATAAACGCAACGATATAAAATACCCTAGATACACCAACACGAACAAAATCGTACCCGAAACCTGTCCAAAAGGTACATCGGACGATCCACATTAACAATATAGTAATTAATGAGATATTTGTTAAGAGTGTTTTGTTGTCCGTCCCAGCAGTCGACACCGCCGGCGCCGCCCCCTCCCCCCGGCGGCCCCGCGGGCCCCAGCACAGTGAATGCCTCCGGGGTCAATGCCCCCGGGGTCAACGGCCCCGCGTTCAACTCGTCGCCCCCGCCCCCGCCGCCGCCGCCCGCGCCCCCCGCCCCGCCCGCCGCTGACATCAACGGCCTGGCGCATCAACTGCAGCAAGCGAGGCTGAGACGGACGGGGAATGCGCCCACACCTAGGGTGAGTTGTCTACATCGCGCTAGTAAAATTTTCACACGCACATATATACCGAGCGAGATCTATATGGAGGAGCTCTAGCGAAGCTAAGATTTTGATTTTAAAGCCTGGGAAGATCTTCCACTTTGGTTAAGCCTTCCTTCCCACATGATGTCTTTTGTCTTCAGTGAAGACAAAATCCAAAATCCAAATCCAAGCCAAATCTAAGTTATGTTTTATTTTCATTGCCATTAAAATGAATTTAGTTTTGATGCGAATTCAAAAAAAGATAAGGTTTAATGTAGAGGTGGGTCGTCGACGTATTTTTCGTCGACGAAACTAAACCGTCCACTACCGTCCATCCATCGACTTCGATCAACTAGTTGAATTCTTCAACTAGTTGACGTGATAACGGCAAGCGTTGAGGGGTTCATATCAACTACGCGGTGACTGGTCTACGGGCGCGACGCAACGGCGACGACGGGGTCTTTATTTAGTATTCACTTTACATTATAGTCATTTAAATGTTTATAAAATAAATTACAAATTAATTTCATAAAATAATCATTCAATTCAAACGAACTTTGCACTAAATTCGCATTCACGTGTCCCTTGACCTTGACTTCGCGACACACTAATTTCAAATTTCAATAAACAAAACTGCAACTACTTGAGGTAAACAATTATTATAAACCCGTTCATCCTGCACTGCATCATTTAGCCAAATCCATCGACGTACTCTTTCACGCAATATCAGAATACTCTTGCCTTTTCACTCTAACAAGTCTAGTTTAAAAAACGAACTAATATCAACTCCCACTCCATATGCTTAAGTTTCAAATTGCTTTATTTCAACGAATGAACGAACGTACGGACTTGTAAGTAAGCCCATCGCTAGTTTAATGCGTCAGTTTTTTTGTTGAGCAAACGGTCTATGAGCAACCTTCTAACTTCTTTCCGTATTCTATGTACCATACCATATTTTTTACGTATATCATTTTCATCTCCAATAGAGCGGCACGCAGTCGGAGGCGGCGTCGCCGGGCGGCGGGGCGGAGCACTCGGGCTCCTCGTCATCGTCCGCGGGGTCGGCGCGTGCGGGGGGCGCGGGGGGCGCGGGGGGCTCCGCGGGGGGCTCCGGGGGGGCCGCGGGGGGAGGCACGCTGCACTCCATGATGCACGAGATGGCGAGAACGCTGGCACGGCGTAGGGCGCACTTGGATCGGGCTGAGGTGAGTGTTTAAGGCATTTTTGAAGTGAGTGACTGTTTACGCTTCACTTAGGGGGTAAGCTGGCGAATGCGTTACGCGTAACGAAAAGTGTGTTCGAGCAAGGGGAGTTGAGTGGGGGATATAAGCACATTTTCTTTCTGTCTTTCTCTTATAGCAAGTAAATGAAATATGTATATGTACATACATGTATATATTGTACACACACACACACACACACATATATATATATATATATATATATATATATATATATATATATATATATATATATATATATATATATATATATATATATATATACATATACAAGTTACAAGCACACTCGTTTTTTGACGTTGCTTTACAGCTAATCTCTTTGTTTTTAATCGGGGATGGGAAAACTACGGACATCTCCCGCCCGAGCCCATGAAACAAAAGTAATGTTTTAGGCAATTTTTTAAAGTTGTTTTACGACTACTCACGATATCTGAATCAGGGATGAGGAAACTATGGACCGCGACCATCAAATAAAAGTCAAAGGTTCTCACCAAATGTACATTTTTTTCACATGTTCCGTCCAACAAGGACCACCCCGCTGTCAAACCTGGTATAGTGCGACGCAGACCTTTATGAACGTGGCAATAATTGGAACTAACACCGTCGTCTTTGTAAACGTAATATTTTGTATGTCATTCACGTAGACAGTGGCGCCCTCCCTGAGGCCGAAACACAAGTTTTATGACAGCTCCGAACATATCATATCGCCAGAGTTCCTATGAAAACTTAGCAGCCGTAAAAACGTAAGACCAAACTAGCTTTTTCCATACAAAATTTGACGATTGCGATACTTTACGGAGCTGTCAAAAACACATGCTTGGGCTTCTGAATTGTCACTGACATTCATTAAGATCCCTCCTGCATGATGAATGAAAAGACGAGGACGTTGACGAGACAAAGAGTGCATCTGGGTCTTGCTGAGATAAGCTTCACCTTCAACCTATTAATCTCCCCACTGCTGGGGCACAGACCTTCCCTGCTAACGACTGCAGTAGCAGCCGGGACCAACGACTTAACGTGCCTTCGCTCGAAATATTAAATTTCGGTCACCCATCTAATAACCGACCATTGCGAAAGTTGCTTAACTTCAATTATCGCAGTTGAACGCGCTAACCACTTGCCTCATCGCACCTAAACACGAATTAATATTGACTTAAAATAGTTGAACTCGTAAACGATACGCGTCAAATGTCGAGAAGTTTTGAATGGAAATCTCTGTCTATGGACATCTCGGAGAGATATTTTTCCTGCGCAGGGGCTTAAAATTCTGACAGTTTCCTTAGAATACCCGTTTAAAGTATTCATATGTGTATAATCTCCCTGTGTGTGTATAATGGCGCGCTTGGTTAGCGCGTTCGGCTGCGATCGTTGAAGTCAAGCAACTTTCGTAGTGGTCGGGCATTGGATGGGTGACCAAAAAACTTCTATCTCGAGTTCCTCCGTGCTTCGGAAGGCACGTTAAGCTGTTGGTCCCGGCTGCATCTGCATTCGTTAGCACCCGCCAATCCGCACTGGGCCCGCGTGGTGATTTATGGCCAATCTCCCTATCCCATCCATAGGGGCGGCCTGTGCCCCAGCGGTGGGGACATTAATAGGCTGATGATGATGTGTATAATCTACGATTTTTACACAGGAGTCGACCAACGATGGCACCAATTGCGGCGTGACGAAAACTTGGGAACGCGCCGCAACTCTACCTCATCGCTTACCCGCCAACTGCAATGGAACCACGCGTAAGTATTCATATTATTTTAGGTCAAAGGGGAAGATTTTCCTCAGAGCTGGGTGATGGTAGCTCGTCGGCCGCGGCCCGACTAATGTTGGTCGGGCATTGTATATATGAAGTGTTAGCCTCCGAATTTCACTTGCGCGATGTAGGCTTCCATACTTTTGTGATCTCAGCGCAGGTAGCGCCATCTCTTGAGGAGGCGAGTGATTATTTCCTCCATGTTAGTTATATGTGGGGCGTATAGATGTCGCCTCCACAAACCCTTAAATAAAACAAGTTTCAACGGTACACATGCACTGATTTATTTATTTATGTTAGTTTCGCATCCTTTTAGTAATTCTGACGACTCGGCCTGAAAAGAATGCGAAACGTCATAATAAATAAATCAGTGCATCTATACCGTTGAAACTTGTTTTCTTTAATGAGTGATGTGCGTGAAAACGTAAGAAACAAATATACCTTGACACCTTTACGATATCGAATTAAATAAGTATCTTATGTCATATGCAACCTGCCAATACGCCAACAATACCTTTTGGTTGGGTAATACTTTTAGAAATGTTTTCGTTAATCTATTGGCTATGGAACTGTACGCTCTAACGACTTAGCATTACTACTAAGCTTTACTTCTTGTTCTGAGGGAAATTGTAAATAAAATTCATGATTTCCTTACAAAATAAGTAAGCAGCTGATCAATTTTTTACAACTTTAATTTTTTGACATTGTCATACTTGTTTTATTACCTACGTTTCAGCTTTATATGGTATTTTATTGTATTTTTTTAATAATCCAAAGAAAATTTGAATAGAGAAATTCCACACAGTGCAGGTATTACATCCGCCCGGATTGCGGGAGGTGTGGATTCGAATCCCGTCTGATGCCGTGACCGCGTAGATTTTGAAGTGATAACTACTTATGGGAGGCTATACCGCTTTGTTACGTAACGCATTATGGTGCCAGTCTGTCTGGCTTCCCTTCGCCCCACCACCAAACCCACCACACTCCCTTACCCATAAATCCACCGATCACCCACTAATCCTCTTATCACCCTCTAATCTCTTTCCCCCTCCAATCCCCCTTTTCACCCTCGAATCCCATTTTCATCCTCGAATCCCATTTTCACCCTCCAATCCCCTTTTCACCTAACAATATCCTCTGCTCAAAAAAGGCTTTATTTAGTAAAATTTTCTTTAGATAATAATAATTTTGTAAATATTGTTTAGCACCGGAAAGTGCGCAAGCGGCGCCGGCATCGCCGCGTTCGGTTCGCAAGCGGTTCGGATCAGCCAGCGAGGAAACTATACTGAAGGTGAGTAATATATAAATTTAATAATAAATATGTATTCTATAATTAAAAATAAATAAAAATAAAATATTTTTATTCTCTTTAACTTAACTTATCTCTTATCTATTAGACAAGTCCGTCCGTCCATGGTGCTGTTTCAGCGGCCAAACCGTAAGAGATAGATAAAGAGAATGTTTAAGTTATAAGTTAAGAATAGTCTGATAAGACTACAAACCGGATTTGAGTAACGTAGCACTTCCGGTTTTCAAGAAATCACGTGATTTCTATTTCAAACGAAACCACACAAAATCACCGAAGTTCTCAATTAATTAAATACATTTTTTTTTGGTGAACATTTGGTTCACTGGTTTGCTAGTTATTATCTAATAACATTGTTGGTGCACTCCTTTGAAGTATAGCGATACCTGTAGCAGAAGGCACCGCTCTTCCATCACCGTTAAAAGATTAAGCTAACAGAAGAATTTACATCAAACTTAACTATAATTGCACCGCCACATGTGAGAAGATAAATGTATGTCTCTCTGTTTGTATAGCAAGTGAATGGTGGTGGCGAATCGATATGCGTCCCCGCCGGGGAATGGGAAGCCTTCAAGCAGGAGCTACTGCGTGAAGTTCGTGCGCAACTTCAGACCATGCGCCGAGAGATATTAGACGGTAAACCTCATTACTGTTTATTTAATAATTGGTGGATGCAACTTCGTTTGCGTGGCAAATAATAATAATAATTTATACGTACTTATTTCAAGTTACAATTATAAGTGAGGCCCTGACTTCTAAACTGTTTTTGAGAAGCCAGTGACTTCCCATCAAAGGTAACTTGGTTGTACTGAGAAGGTACTAACTTTTTTTAATCCTAAAAAAGGGAAAGTTTTCCTATACAAACTTCTTCCCCCCTTTTCACCCTCTTAAAGGATAATTTCAGGGATAAAAACTAGGCTATATCCTTTCCCAGAACTCGAAACTGTATCTATACCAAATTTCATCTAAAGCGGTGCAGCGGTTCAAGTGGGAAGGGGTCTGTTACTTCTTACACTCTTACAGACGGACTTTCGCATTTATAATATTATAATAGACTAGCGGCCCGCCCTCGCTTCGCTTCGGTGTAGAGCTGAAATGTAGACTACAATTTTTGTTCTCAGGCTTGTATTAAACACAATGACATTCGTCTATGATTCTTCTTATACCTGTATGCAAAGTCTCAGCCCGATCGGTTTAAAATTGACAAAGTTTCATACAAACTTTCATGCTCTATTTTAGGGGTAGAATTGATCAAAATCCTTTCTTAGCGGATGCCTACGTCATAACATCTACCTGCGTTCCAAACAGCCTGATCCGTCCAGTGGTTTGGGCTGAGCGTTGATAGATCACTATGTCAGTCAGTCACCTTTGAGTTATATATATATATAGATTTTATGGTAGCCATAATTCATCCGCGGCCGAAACCTGACGTCACAGAGCTCGATCGTGGTTCACTCCGGTCGAACTTCAGTAGCGTCTCTACGCACGCTTGCGCCCGAGCACTAGAGCTCGGTGACGTCACAGTTCACCAAGCGGCCAGCCGAAAATTCGACGAAGTTACAATTTGGTCATAACTTCGTCAATATTTGTCGTAGAACAAAAATTGAACCACTGTATTTTATGGAATCCTTAGCTCTACAAATCTGCATTCTCAACTAAAGTCATTACGGATTTTCTCATTTGTATCCTATTATTGCAGCTATGAAGGCGGAATTCGCTCGCAGATAAGGGAAGGGGCCGCGAGCGTCGCCGAGTGACAAGCTAGTCCGCCCTGACGACGACGGTGAACAAATATTTTGTACCTTAACTACTACAACTTAAGACCTATTTTTAACTGTACACTATCAGCTATGTTAGACAAAACAAATATTAAACATTTTGTACTGTAATCTCCTCTAACAATGATGAACTAAAGAAATGGGTAACGTTTTTATTGAAGCTTCAACAACTTCGACTTATTTTACATTGTACACTGTTCATAATGGCTCAATTACATGTGGTCGTTAGTCCGTATTCGGGTGCCCGAAAGACGTACTCGAATTCGGACCCCCGAAGAAATAATTACACTGAAATATGGGCTGGAAGATGGTGTCCGGTAACCAAAACGAAAAATTCCCGAATACGCGCTACGAGCTCACTCGATTCCTTTCATTTACACGTCGTTTACCCGAATTACATTGGCACTACTATTCGGGCTAACGGCCAAGTGTAACCGCGCCATAACTGTACCAAACAAAATATCTTGGTAGTTATAACTGTATCAAATAAATAGTAAATTATATGAAACATTCTGTACTCTAATGACCTCAACTTACGACCTATTTTACATTGTACACTCTAACTATCAAACCAAAATATGTATAGAACGTTTAGAGTCTAATTTAACTGCGAAGAGAATTTCGCTTTGTTCGGTGTAAAGTATTTGTGGTTTATGTCGACCCCATAAAGTTCAATTTTGAACGATATTTCATTTAAAGGCTAAAGTTTTTTTGTTTATTAGTATTGTTTTCACTAAACTAAATGTAATTAGGACTGAAATTAGTTTACTAAATTAGTAGTTACTACTAAATTTCTATTTGGCCTTGTAGGGTTTCGGCTTAATACGCACATTCAGACCTAACTTATAAATAAGTCTGTTTTTTTTAAACATTTTTATATCCTTACGTTCTGCATAGAAACAAATTTAAATTGTACTTGATCTATATATTTGCAAACGCTACCTTTGGTTATTATACAGTATATCTATGCCTAAATGAAACAAAATAACAAGTCTGATAGTTTCATAGAAATCTTTCTTTTTCATTCAATTTAATTATACACGCTGATGCCTGAAAGTTTTTTTACAATATCAATTAATATTCTTTTAAGTTAAGCAACTTTACTCTCTTAAAACATTGGAACGAACGAACAATTTTCAAACGTATTTGTAATGACACAAGACTTAATATTAAGCTGACATTTTATGCAGACAAGTATTAAAATGCGGATTGTCTAAAGATATTTGTTCACCGCTATCAGTTAGGTATAATGTGATTAAATCAACGTACTACATATATAAATAAAAAATAGGTATGTCAAACTGGTCGTTAACAGCGACCGTGCGACATGGCAACACCTGACGTTTCGACAGGGTTACCAATATGAAATTTAATAAAAAATCCACTGCGCTTTTTCATTTCCAATACGCCGTAATTTCTTTTAGATCTTGAAACAGTTTAGAGAATACTTGATTGTTAATTGAGATTTTAAAATACTTGAAGTATGAAACCTCGAGTGTTGCCAGTAGATGGAGACCATTCTGCTCCGTTTTTTAATAAAGCGTTGAGACGTTTTTAATATAATAATAATAATGATGAAAAAAAAACGCGATTTGTTTAAAAAGTATGTACCTATATAATGGAAAAACTCATCAATCGACCGTGATTTTCGATTGTGATCGGTGTTAAACGATAACGAAATGGTAACTAGACGTAGCGCACGAAACGAAGCATAAAGGAAGTTGTGTTTTTTTTTAATTTTATACTTAAAAAATATTTATTCGGATACGTATAATGTACGTAGTTGTAAGGGTACGTCGATACGTCGTCATTATAGTTTTCACTATCAACAGGTTATTGAAATAATTCATATGAATATAGAACATACACGTTTTGAATATTTTTATTTAAAGTATATTTTTCACCTGGATTTTTTTCTGATTTAACATATTTACTTAACAATATTATAAAATATCTGCACTGAAACTATATTATTACATAGACTAGTTGGCATCTATTTGTAACCAACCAGCCAGCCAGGCCTTTTTCATTGTACTACAATGAAATATACAATAATAGTAAATATACAGGGGAAAAAAACAAATTAAAAAAATTTTTTTTTTTCTGATTTATGATATTTACCTAACAATTTTATAAAATATCTGCACTGAAACTGTATTATTACATGGACAAGTTGGCATCTATTTGTAACCAACCAGCCAGCCCTATTTTATTGTAGCACTTTCGATAACGAAGTTCAAACGAAATTTAATTTCGTCAATTTAAGGTTATACTTAATTTGTATGATAAACTTACAAATAGAAGCTTTCTTTGAGTAGGCTTACGAAATCTACACCTCAATATATATACCGACGGCTAATATTATTATAATTAAAAACGAGCCAGTAACATTGTAAGAAAAGTGTGAAGTAAATTTAGTTTAAAACCTCCAGGCCTCCAGGTTCGAATCTTGTTGAAAAAACAGTCACATTGTGTATATAAGTATGTTTATAGTGAATACTATATGATGGAAAAAATATGTGTAATAACCATGTAGCACCATAAAGTAACTAGTATTATCCAATATTTATTGCGCGGCAAGTTACGCCCGTGTCTAGACTAAGTTATAACATATAATTATATATATATGAAAGGTATTACGATATATGTATGTTTATGTGTGTTACGTGATTTTCTCTACTTGCCGGGTGATATGAAACTGTTTCAAATGGAAATTGTTATTAATATTTTGGAAACAGTGATAATTAATAATCAATATATCTGTAGATTAGCGTTTCTTTATGGTATATGTGTACACTCGTTCAAGTCGAATTTCGTACCCTGCAGCACAAAGGAGTTTAACTGCAAAAGTGAAATTTTACAGTAAAAAGTTAACGCGAAACTTTTTGAAATGTTACGCAAGTCATAATTTAACGTTTGCTTTTAAGTGTACACAATTCTTTTATTTATTAATAACACAAAGCAATATCAACTTTAAGTCTGTTTATTTTAGTTGAATTTAAAAAGTTTTCAGTTCATTTACAGGCTAAGGCGGTGTTTATGTTGCTACATAGCCTAGCTTTTTAACTTTCATGTGTATTTGGGAAATTCCTGAATTGATTTTATTCATACAAGTTACAACAACCAGTTTATTTTACTTAAATTTACCAAAGTATCAAATATATTGAATTTACACTAGGAATTATCGAAATTGGCAGTTGCACTCCTTCGTTCCGCTGGGGACGATTCCCCAAACAGTAGGTTATCTTCGACCATAGTCTGCCGTAGCTAAGGCTTTACACACTTAATCCCTTCACTTTGATAAAAGTCTTCCATAAAAATAAGTTTCCGACTTTCATTATTTGAATACGTTTAAACAAACAATGCTGTTTTGTAATGTAGTCCATATAATCTTGTAGATGTTCATGACCAATAAAAGTATTATCAGCGAGTCATTTCAAAGTGACTTTGTCTCGAATCTGGGTGTTTTTCGCTCCAAAATCATTTTGTAATATTTTTGCTTGTAAACATCTCGAGGCAGAGTTATTTATGTGAGGTTATGTTATTTACTAGAATGTCCACTATAGAAATCATATTATAGGCCAAACTAGATGTTAAGAAGCTTCATAGATTGTTCTCATCATTATTACATGTGTAGGTAGCGGCAAACTTCTTTAAAAAAAACCACAGGCAAATTAACTTGCGCAGTAGAAGTTTTTGTATGTAAAATTGCCACTGCGCAGGTTGCGCTGTCTATTGTTGATGCCCATGAAGTTTCCCGGGAGGTATGTCTACGCTTCATAGTGATCACTCTTATTTACCCGGCAGTAGAGTCGAAAATCCATTTAAACTAACACAACACACGTAACGAAATAAAAGTACACGGCAATAGCAGTACAGACAGAGTAAAGAGCATTCGTTGATTCGATATTTCGAGCAGAGTGAAGTTAGGCGAGTTTGGCTTTAAAATATTGGGAGTTTTTAGTTTGTAAGTGATGATATTTGGACTGAGGTAGTATCATTCCAATGGCGAGAGACCCAGGTCAGGATCGGCCTACAATGCGTTTTGGTTTTTTACCTACAAACCCGTATATGAAACACCAGTTTTTTACTATTTACATTTTTGTACGCGATTATACAAAGTAGATGTATTGATGACTCGATTGGATTGTTTTTTTTTTGATTGCCTGCTTTAGATGCCCGAATCAGGACTGTGTGAATGACTTGTTAAAGAATTTTGTACGTTAAATCCAGTGGCAAACACAAGTTTGCGAGTATGACATGGCATTTATACTTATCGCAATGGAATAAGGTTCATTATGTCAAAAGTTGTATACACAATTTTTGCAACGAATCAGTTAGCCGCACATTAATAATGAAAATTACTTGAAATAAAAGAATGAAATCTTATTGGTTAAAAGTTACAGATATCCATCAAGTCGACACTTCGCTTTGCCATTCGAATTTGCTATTTATTAACTTGACAGCAGTAACTTCTGATCATGCTTAATAAGGAATAATAAGGACAGTATGATATCAAGTTTACAATGATAAGGACAGTATGATATCAAGTTTACAAAGTTAAGGATAGTAAGATATCAAGTTTACAATGATAAGGTCAGTATGATATCAAGTTTACGATGATAAGGACAGTATTATATCAAGTTTACAAATAGCAAACACGAATAGCCAAGTGAAGTGCGGCATATTTGTAGATGTTTGTGTGTTTTTAAGTACTCTACATTATGTGATTTGGTCTAGTTAGCGGGTCCCTGATGGTTTGTCATAACAAATTTCCTACTGATAAATTTAAATCAAAGATTACTATATTTCTTTTACTTACTTATCTGACACTTTAAGTATAACTTAAGTTAGATGTGTTATGGATACGATCAAATAACGTACTACATATATAAATGAAAAATAGGTATATCGAATGGATGTTTAACAGCAGCACATGGCAACACTTGACGTTTCGACGGGGTTACCAATATGAAAATAAAAAATACACTGCGCTTTTTCGTTACGAATCCGCCGTATTTTTTGTATATCTTGAGTTTAGAAAATACGCGACTGTCAATTGAGATTTTAAAGTACTCGAAAAATGAAACCGTGAGTGTTGCCAGTAGAAGGAGACCATTCCGCTCCGATTTTAATATGCCATTTAATTCATACGCCATCGAAAAACTGCGCTGAAAACTGATTGAATATTTTTTCCTTGCAAGTTGTTTTTGTTTTTAATGTGCGAATGTCAAATAAGCCAGCAGGCATGTTAGTTGAATGTTTTTAAAGGGCATTCTGGTGCTCCAGAGCAGTGGCGGCGCTAGACCACATGTGGACGTCGGCGACATCAATTTCGCGAGGCCTATTTTACTTCGCAGTAAAAAACAGTTAAATTAAGTGAGCCAAATTATAAAATAACGTATGAGTAAACGAGTTTTATTGTTGATAATCAAATGATGACAAAAAGTAATTTTGTAATTAATTATGTTTGTACATAGAAATTTAATTACAAAAATAGTGTTGCCAGACAGACGATTCTGAATACCTGTAAAGTACTAGTCGCTTCCATCATGCACGTGTTCGAAAATAATAAAAGTCATTATCATCGGCTTAGCTTTTTCCCCGAATTGTTCGGGGTCGGCTACCTAAGCCAGGCCAGGAGAAACGAAAATAAATAGGTAACTTGTAAAAATTTTTTGCGAGGCCCCCTCAGGCGCGAGGCCGTCGGCGGTGGCCGACGTCGCCGACGCCTAGCGCCGCTACTGCTCCAGAGTTTCGCGAAAATTCCAAATACCCATCAGTGTTTTTGACGGACATGATGCATTTACAGAATTAGTTTAACTATTCATTTCATCGTTAAGAAACGGCCGATTTTAGAATTCCATATAGAAAGTGTACTATTTGATTATCTTACACAAATCCACTATAATAGGAAAAGTGGCTAACACTTAGTGATATTCGCTATTATAACTATTATTATATAAGTTTAAAAAGAATGTTAGTATTAAAAAAAATCATTTTAATATATAAAAATAATGATAAACAAGAAAACCATGGGAAATAACCAAATTTTAGTTGGGACGTATGTTGTAATGCGAGTGTAACTAATATTAATAAAATTGTTGGTCTCAGGCATGTCAAAGATTTGTAATCGTTCGCTTGGACTTAGTGAAAATATTATGAATACATTTATAATATGTATGACATATTTGGTGACTGTTAGATAACTTGCTGGTAAAGTATCAGCTGTATCGTCTGAGTGCACATTCGAAAGAAGTGCGGAGAGATATCTTTGCTACTGCTCCAACTTCAATATTGCCAGTATGTAGTGCCTACTAGAGTCCTTTTCATAATAGAATTGTCACGACCATTAATGGAACTAATTTGACAATTCAAAATATGACATCTATGTGATGACGGTTATTCATATTTGCTATTTTTAAACTTAACAAGCCTGTCCTTTTCCCTGCCACATACACTAGTCATTGGTTTAATCTTTAAGGAGCCATTAAAGAAGAAATTGAAGTCTGTCCTTATCATGATTTTTAAGGAATGAAAAAAATAGCCTAATGTCAAGACGTAATTTTTAAATGACATTTGTGGGATGTCATTATTCATCGACTGTATCCTGATGATTTCAAATTACTGGGTGCTGGCATAGATCGATACAAAAATATCAGGCACACGATATCTTTCATAATAATGAGTTTTATCTTCTTGATAAATGGGACACAATTCGCTATCAGTAACTTTGCCAGCTGGTTGTCTAAACAGGCCTCTAATGTTATTTATGTGCTTGATTAATTTATGAAGTGTCGAGAAAGCTTATTGACATTATTTCTTAATTAATTATGATTATTGTATTATTTTTACGTTTAGTTGATTTAAATTGATGTCGGTGGAAATATGATTCTTCAATTAAAACTTACAAGGATGTCGCTAGAAAAGGAGTCGATTGATGGTAAATAAATGTATTTATTCTCATCCAGTATTTGATTTGTAAAATGACGATAATTGATAATTAATATAATGATTTTTTGTTAGAAATGTATGTTTATTATTTCGGTGCAGTCTTGTAAATTGTAATAGCATAAAATGTCTTATTTTTTACAGGCAACAGCACTCATTGTCGATTTTAAACCTTCTGTTGTACAACGTAGGGTTGACAATCTGTTGAAAGGAAAATGTTATGGACGAACTCCTGTGCTGTTGACTGTACCTTTTGTATAATTTATTTCTCCACATGCATTAGTAATATTTCGCTAGTTTAGGGGTTACCACGCGCGTTGTTTTTACAACTTGTCCTACGATTTTTGTAGTCAATTGATTTATGTATTGTACATAGATTTTTTTTAGTATCGAATGTATATTATATTATTTTTTTGTGATCGTACTCGCTGGTCTTTTATTTATAACAACCCAAATGTGTTTAATGTGTGAATACTCTAGTGAATACTCTGCTCTGTACCCTTAGCACGAACTAATATCGAATTCGTAACGTTTGCGAGTCCGTAAGGTCACTGTCAAATGTGTACTGATTTTTGGTCCGCGTTAAGCACTTTGTGCCGCTGCTGTTCAAGTTTTTATACAAAATTTGACATTGACATTTCGGTTTGCAAACTATTCGAATTCGATAATAGTTCGTGCTAGGGGTACTGTACCCCTCACGAACCAATATCGAAATCGTAACGTTTACGAGTCCGAAATAGAATTGTCAAATGTGTACTGATTTTTAGTTCTCGTTACGTACTTTGTCGCGCTGCTGTTCAAGAGTCCATACAAAATTTGACATTGACATTTCGCACTCGCAAGCTATTCGAATTCGATATTGGTTCGTGCTAGAGGTACTGTTCACAAAATTAGTGTAATTAGTGCGACACTTATAAAAGATAAAGATGTAATTACAAGTAATTACTTATTGCTAAGTAAGCAAGTTATAACTTGGCTAAGAATTCTCATTTTTGACAATTCTCACTCTGATTAAAATCTTTTGTACCTGTGAAATGAAAAATGCTGCTCAAGTAGAGACTTAAGCAGATGTAATTATAGGTAGACAGCTTTACTGAGTCCTCGCCTGCGGGGTAAGGGGTGTGGGGAGGACGAGAACTGACACCGTGAGCATAGAGGTATAAGAATAGAGTGGGGAAGGCGGCTCTAAAAGTGTCCGTCTAGTAATAAGAGAAGAAGATGAGAGACCGTTAGCTATCTCGCTCTCTTGTAACGCATGGCATCCAATGGCATCACATCGAAATAGTAAGATGCTTACGGTCAGACCTGTCTTTCCTAGTGGGCACTTTGGGCAAGTGCCCAGGAGCTCTATTTTTGAATCACTCGTCTTGCGTCGAACGTTTTCATTCGACATAGTTAATTCCGTATTTTTGAATCGCTCGAGTGCAACGAATGGGTGAAACCACTCGCTGCATGGCGAATAGTGGAGGCGAATGATAGAATAATTGTCAAAGGAGATTGCTCAAATTGGCCTAAATGCACAAAAAATATTGACATACACGGTAATTCTTGGCGTAATTTATAATTTGATTTACAGTCATTAGATTTCAACGGACACCTTTGTATAATATATTTACTTTAAAAAGGACTTTTAATTTTACCGGTTTGGAAAACATACGAATAATTTTTAATGGCTATGGGTGTAGTAACATTCAGCCAAAGACTGATCGAAGTTGTTTATATAACATAAAAACAAATCTATCTTGTAAAGATCGATAAAATATTTTTTTTTTATTACACTGTGGTAATATCCACCACTATATTATCATTTTCACTAGATGTAAATGTGCTCAGACAATTATTATAGATGGTAGGCGACATCATTAAGTCTATTGCTATACATTTTTCGCCAAATACCTCCATAAACTCATTATAATCTGTATATATGTTAGACTTTAAGTAATCTATCTATGGGCCTACGTTCCCTGACTATAAATTAATAAATAAATAAAATTATAAGGTGTGATACACTAAAAATCTAAAATATGGTTATCTTAAAAATATAACAAAAGTAATGAAGCTACTGAATATATGGCTATATAACCTAAATCTCTTAGCTTTCTTTGGTTAACGAGAGTTTAAAAATTCTCTCTAATCTGTGGCTCTTTCACAATCATCACACAGTTTCTGTCACAGAGTACCTACCTTATTATAACCGGAAATGACACCTGATTTTAAAAGTTACTCTTATGCATTAACTTTAAAAACAAGCAACTATCTGTTGCTTCTACATGTTCTATATACCTGAATCTAATCCATAATTTCGCTACTTGGCTTGATTTTCCTAGTTTACTTTGTAACTTATTTATTTTTTATTATTTTAATATGTTCAGTGTATATGGTTTATAGAAGTTCTGAGGGGTATCCGTCAATAATATTCGTTTGTACAGTAATTTATATATAATTTCGAATCTAGGAAACAATTTTTCATGATTATTGGTCTTTAGGCCAAACATGTATGGAAGCTGAGCAATCTCCTTTTTTGTGCTATTAGACGACGATAATCTATCATTGTCATGCTTTATATGAAACGATAACGAGAATTTTTTGTTCGGTTTTCATTGTGGTAATTACCGGTTTTTATTTTTTCTGCGTAAAATGAGTAAAATTTCATATTTCGTATTAAACAGGTAACACCGGTGACGAATGATTCAAAAATACGGGAAATCAGTATCATGCGACTTGAAAATCGAAAGTGACTTATGTCGCATTCGACGATACTATGTCAGACGAGTGATTCAAAAATAGGGCTCCAGGACCCGCGATCGATAGGGGGCCCCCTCAGATCAAATACAGAGTCCCTAGTTCCTGTTAAATCACCAAACGGAAGTCATATATCCTACTATATCCCAGTATCCTAATATGCCCAGGGCCTCCAATAGGTCAAAGACGGCACTGCTTAAAGTTGCCAATGCGCATGCGCGATTAGAGAGAGAAAGCTAGCGGTCTCTCGTCTTCTTTCTCTTTCTATTAGAGGGACACTTCCACTTGTAGTAGTCTTTATCTCCCCTACTCTATTCTTATACCTCTATGACCGTGAGAGGTGCGGGCGGCGAACTTTGTTGTCAACATTACAAGCGTCCTCGTCCTCCCCACACCCTGTACCCCGCAGGCGAGGTTTCAGTTAGAGTCTGTGCGGAAAGAGAATGGGCGTGGCGAAAAACGGAACTAACATTAAGATTTTTATGTGGCAATCAAACCCAGCAATCTGTAAAACGTCAAAGTTTTGTATTGATACGGATTTGTTTGTTGTTGTGATTTCTTGCGGTTTTTTGTGTTTAATCATGTTTTTGAAGTTATACTTCTTTAGGCGCGTTATGAAAAACTGATGAGAGTGAAATTTTAAGATGCGCGCGCATCACTGTAACACAAAATTTTAACAGCATGAAGTTGGTCGCTTTAGCGACCAACTTCATGCGTTACTTTTGTGTTTACCGCACATTAAGAAAATCTACCAACAAAATAGAAATAGATTCTCTATTTAGTGGGTGCTAACGACTGCATTGTGAAGGCCTATCAAAAGTATTTATTAATCTGGAACAACGGAACCAAAGCGCGATTCAGGAGACTACAGCGCCATCTCTTGACCATTGGTGTAGTAGAACCAAAAACCACATCTTTATTTGTTTTTGTATATTCGGAATACGTGTTTGAGTTTCATACAAGTGCAAATCACATATGTTCTAATAAATTATATTCAGTAGCGATTTTAATTGAATATTTTGATTATTTATTTATTTTTTCAAATTAAAACTGAACTTTATTGACTGTGTCCTTTTCCAGACTTTTTATTAATTTATTGTAATTAATTATTTGCATGCAATTAAAAACTAATTTTAAACGATGCCAAAGAAGGATAACTTCTCACGCGCCTACATAAGTACACGCACCCATTTTTTTTTTATGTTATAGGGGGCATACAAGCAGACGGCTCACCTGATGGTAAGTGATCACCGTCGCCCATGGACACTTGCAACACCAGGAGTATCACAAATGCGATGCCGGCCTTTAAGGAAGGAGTACGCTCTTTTTTTGAAGGTTTTTGGGTCGTATTGGTCGTATCCGTATGTCTGAAAGGGGTAAAACCTTACAAATACGGTAGAAAAGCACTACAGCCCCTCCAATCTAAATCCCATTCTCTTTCCGCACACACTCTAAGCGAATCCTATACTTGTATCTGTTTATAAATACGACGATTAGTAACAGCAACAATAAAACCCAGACTATTAATGTCCCCACTGCTGGGGAACAGGCCATCTCTTTGTTCTACTCTGTATGTTGTACAAAGAGTGGGCTGGCCATATTTGCCGAAGAACCGATAACCGTTGGGGAAGACGAGTTCTGGAGTGGAGACCGCGTCTAGGCAAACGTAGTGTAGGACGTCCTCAGGCACGATGGAGTGACGATTTGCGCAAGGTGGCTGGCAGGAGCTGGATGCGAGTAGCCCAAAATCGATCTGAGTGGCGTGCAATTGGAGAGGCCTATGTCCAGCGGTGGACTAGGATAGGCTGTTGATGATGATGCTGATGACAAAGAAAAGGACAAAATTGCGTTCTTGTGTGCTAACTACTGCAGATGCAGTCGGGACTGTGGTGATTACAAAGTTTAGATTGTAGATGGTAATTGAAACAAGGTTGAACAGAGTGTTTTTATTATTATGCTGTAAATTAATAGTAAACTATAATTGCGCAATATTACTTGCCAGTTTAATCGTAACCTCATTAATTTGTCTTCTCGTCTGCGGAATTTTATTCATATTATGCACCTACAGGACCAACGGCTTCATTTGCCTTCCGCAGCACGGAGAAGCTTGTGTAAGCTCTTGTTGAGGGTGAGACGTCAGCATATGACTCAATCTTTGATTTCTTTATACTTGCCTAGAATAAGCAATCCAATTAAACCACGCAGAGAAAACGACTCATGTTTCGCGCAATGTATGCGTGGCTCTCATGTAAGCTTGTACCAAGGCAGTCCAATGTGTGCGTGTGTAGCGAAGAGTGTATCTACCATATGTGGTAGATATTGTTTGTGCTGCTTCCGTGCAGTTAATACGTTATCTATAACATTTGAATTGGAACCGCAATAGTAGATTGTTAACCGAGGGTGGAAAGAATCAATTCCCGAGGCGGCTATAGTCCGAGTAGGAATTGATTCTTTTACCCGAGTTAAACACTGTACTTTTCATTTCGAATATGAGGAAAATAAAACTAGTTGTTTATCAAAAATATTTATTCATAAATAGGTATATATATAGGTACAATAAAATTAGAAGTAGCTATTTAAAATTAATTGTCATATTAGGACAATTAGTGAAATTAAAATTACATTCTTGTTTGAAATGTTTATGCTGTTTGATATACTATTCCATGGCGGATACTCCCTGGAAGTTTGAAGAAGAAGTGAAGAGGACAGTCCATTAAAATATGTAAGAAATACACTTTCGGAAAACGATTTTATATTCTTCTCTGCTCACCACTTTATAAAATCATTGTATGTATTCATATATCCTCTTTTGACATTTCTGGCAAAAGATTCTCTATAACACAATTTGCCTCGTCTTTAATTGAATCCGGTGTCAACATTTCTGAATCGCTTAAACTCATTTTTAATATTCAAATTTAGATTACTCTGTTTTACTTATAAGATTTTTTTTTATTCCACCACAGATACATAACAGTTTAGTATCCCGCCAATTTATGTCGACTTTTTAAATTTAAATATGGAACAGCGTAATTGTTGCGGCTTATTCCGCTCAAAGCAGTTTGTGCTAAGTTCACACTGGCTGTTTAGAAACTCACATGGCATCATATTTTTTTTTTACATAAAACTCTTCACACCTGACAGTAGTTCTATTTTTAAAGTTCATTCCTGCCCTTAGGCGGGAAGTAATTTGTATGAGTTTTTCCATCTCTAGGAGAGGAAGCAGCATTTTCCACCCAACAAACAGATCAAAACAACACCACTTTCCGAGAATGAGAAATGAAAAAGATTTTTTTAATTTCTTTAAAATTAATTACGGGATTTTATTTAACATACTTGTCATGAAATTATTACACCAAATAATAAGTAAGTAACTTCTTCTCGCGTAAATAATCACACTACAATTGTTTTGTGGTAATCAATAACAATTTGAAATTGTAAATTGTAAAATCGTTATCTATAATAATCAAAGTGCTCAAATTATACCGCCGCTCTAAGGCTCGAATTTATGGTCAGTTCAGTTCATACTAGCACAGTCGAAGCGAATTTCAGAAACATAACTAAGCAAATTAACCCTTATCCGCCAGGTAAAGTACATATTCTTTCTGGGATAAAAAAAAACGCGCGACTTCGCTGATTATGAGCTCGGAAGGAATATGTGCATTACGACGTGGAGATAATCAGGCGGGTATAGTATTTCGTTTCTGAACTACTTTTTGTCGACATCTGCGTTCTCCTACAAAAAATCGATCACTGATTATTACTGGACGTGGCGGGCACCCTTCGGGTGAATTTTCTATGTTATTGTTTCTGAAATTCGCTTCGATGCGCTTCGACCAACCGCTAGTATAAATCGACCATTAGTTTGTATGTTATACAATTGACACTGTCATTATGCTACGCACAATTTCGTTGCAAAAATTCGCTTCATTTCTATTACGCAGTATAAATTGAGCCTATATCTTATAATAGTTTCTGATATTGTCTTGTCTTCTTCGACGATAGCCTTTACTACCAAATATAAATTAGGTACAAGGTTGCACGTATAATGGAATACTGACCTATTAGTACTCACCTCAGGTAACCATTTAGTTACCACAGGCTTGTGTTACATCATTTTTGTGTTTAATTTTTAAGCAAGATGTTCTGATGCTCCGAATTACTTGATACTTTGGTGTTGGCACAAGTTTGTGTCTATGGCTTAAGTACTAATAGTCAGTATTTCATTAAACGTGATAGAAATTACGATTTGTTTTGAACCGACTCTACTTGGGCGCGGATGTTGCGTCCTAAATGCGTATGCGTATAAAATCAGGCAAACTTATTGAGCGACAAACATAGACAAGGAAAAACCTCTACTGCGCATATTTATTGGTCTATAGTTTTGCTCAAGATGTCTGCCGCTACTTACCTACATCTACCTTCTTGCCTACTTTCTCTCCCGGAAAAATAGTAGGTTGAAAACATTCTGTCTTGTCTCTTAAAACAATCAATGAATTGATTGAGGGTTATTGCGATTACGGTATGATATTTGATAAGGCAGGCAAAAACATAGTTTCAAAGGGATATAGTAAATGAAAATATAAAATTAAAAAATGCATTTTATTAAAAAAGAGGAAAATTAAATTTACAGGCCGAGAACACATTGCGCAACATTTTGTGTACTTTTAATAAATAACATTTGAATTGGAACCGCGAATAGTTGTTATTTTATTTCTTTAAAATTAATTACGGGATTTTATTTAACATACTTGTCATGAAATTATTACACCAAATAATAAGTAAGTAACTTCTTCTCGCATAAATAATTACACTACAATTGTTTTGCGGTAATCAATAACAATTTGAAATTGTAAATTTTAAAAATCGATTTTTAATTTTTATTTATAAAAAAACGCTTTTTCGGTAATAAAATCCATTACAATAATTTTATTACATAATCTGGTAACAAAATTTACATTAAGTACCTACGTTGTTGTAAAATAAAGTAAATTCACAAAACAATTGCAATTTTAGGCATCGTTAGATTTGCCCTTTCGCAGACAGTAGCCATTTTAGGTTGAGAAATACGCACATACGTGTAAACTGAGAGAATTGGTGTCAGCTATTTTTCCACTAAAGTAATTTATATTTATTTCTCTCTTGACCATACTACTCATCTGGTGATGGAAACATTTCAGCTAGGGCCTTAGATTATCTCGTAAATTTTGATCCCTTTTTGATATAATCTAAGGCTAGGGCAAATCTTACAATTTTAATCTACGGTTAGAGTAGAACATCAGTCATTCAAAATTAAAACCCCTCATACCATACTTACAGTTAAGTATCTAATTGGATAGAAGTATCAGGTTTGGTGGTCACGGTACATTATGGCCGTTCGACGTATTATTAAACCTAAAGTACTCATATCATTTAGAATTCAAGCTCCAAGCACTAGTGGTTACAGATACAATGTATTGCACATTCATTTTAAACATTAACAGATCACAATTTGTGCAAAAAAGCACTTTATTATTACAATATAGTCACTAAAATAAATATAACAAACATTTTCGAGTAGGTGTAAACATAACTTTTTTTTTTCACAATAAAATTTATAATTAACATAAAACAACAAAAAAAATTTTTTTAATAATAAACAATTTGACTGGTAACTTCAAAATGTGTATTGTCGTAGCTCTGAAATGAGGTAGAGATTTTAGGGGAAAACATATCTCACTTTTAAGGGCTTTAAAAATCCTCTTTAGCGATTGATTTTTTGTTGAGAAAACAAAATGGCGCCGATTGATGGTCAGTTGTTTATACTAGCGATACCTACACTATTAACTCTATATTTGCCGATGTTATCAATGATTTAAAGCGGGGAACTTTTAAAATGTTTATCTTGATTCTTGAATATTTAGCGACGGGACGCATTTAAGATCTCTACACTTGCTTTTTAACTTACAACTATTATTATAACATTTAATAATTATAAATATCATTTGTAAAAAAAGCATTTATACAATGTATACAATATAAGTAGTGTACCATACATAAGTGGTTGTACTTAAAAGAGATTACTTTTGTGGTACAATAATTTTTATTATTAATTACTGTTATGTTTTCCAATATAAATTATTATTTTAAGTAGATGGGTAGACGAAGTGATGCTTTTGTGCATATCCAAGCGCATAATGTTTTCATTTTATTAAACAATCACAACATCCTTATATTCTTATCCGTGTACGGCGATGAGATGTATGACCTGGAAAAAAAATTGCCGGTTAGTAATGTTTTTCTTTCAGGTTCACATAAAAAAAAGGAAAATCTTATAAAAAACGTGTCTACTGCTACAAAACAACAAAAAAGTCACTCTATTATTGACATAAATTAAATTGGTGTAACATAAAAGTCAATTTAATAAAAGTGTAATTTGGTCCTTCGAGCCCGATCTATTCCGGTAACCTTTTGCAAAAAAGCTTTAAATAATACCATTAGTGTATTATATCCGCATTGAATTTCATTTCCCTTGTGAATATTGGATAATAGGCAATCTCTTTATTAAGAGATTATTATTAGATAGGGCTTATAAGCCCTATCTAATAATAATCTCTTAATATAGCTATAGCCCTATGTGGAGGATACGGTAATACTCCAATCTTCAATAGTGCATTATGTTTCCGGTTATGATTGATTTATCAAATAACAGAGGGCCAAACAATTTAATAGGTAGCATTAACTCGAATTGCAAGTAAATTTAACTAGGTCTTGGTTTACGGTAGATGAGTAAGAATAATGATTAAGGTCCACTTCCAACATTTTTTCTAAATCTCAATTTAGCTAATAATAGATTTAGTCTATACAATAATGTCAAATTTAATTGACGTTTGACATATTTCTATGGATTCGATCTAGTTTTAGTTCAATCGAAGTTAAGCAAATTTACTGCAAGTAGACCTAAATAAAGACCAATTAATAACTTTAGAATACCCTATTTTATAAAGGAGGGTAAAAAACGTTTGCACCCTTATTAAATTGACTACAATCAGATTTTCTTGTAACTACAAAATATATTTACAAATATGGACGAAACAAACCATTTTATTATTTAATTATGGCCAAAAAATAAATAAATTTATTCTAAATCTCGTTGAAAGTGCTTAAATTAAAAAAAATATGCTGTAAAAAACACGAAATACTGTAATGTTATTGTGTCCAAAAGAAAAGCAAACACTGCGATTCAGTCTCGTTTGGAATAATGTTATCTAATAGCATGCCATATACATATACAATTTAAATTTATAAAATAGTGTGAAGATTTAATTTTTTGTGGAAAGGCACAAAGAAGCATTTTTAACTTTATTTAAATATGAGCATTTCAAAACACATTGGTGTCGACTTTGGCATGATTCTCTAAACTTAAAACTAAATTTAACATCAGTCTCTCCTTTTGTACAGAGAATGACAGGGATGCACTGTTGTCAAATTAAAGCTTAGGTTTAGAGAATCGTGCCAGAATCGACACCATTGTCTAGCAAAAAAGAAACCACATTGTATTTTGATTCGGATATTTTTTGTGTATTTTCTTCAATGGTTAAAATACATTTAAACTATATTAAAGTAAGTTGTGCATTTAAAAAAATCAAGCTAAAACAAAAACACACAAACACACAGAAGCCAAACATAAGAGACATTGGCGACTACAAACTTTAACTTTTTCAAAGAACCTGAATGGAAATGGCTTGTATATTTTTTTTGTATTTTTTATATATATTTTTTCTTGCAGTCTTCTTAGCTTGCTTATTCATTTAGCACTGGGAGCATGGATCTAGAAGGATAATAATAATAATAATCAGTATTATACTATTAATAATTACGAGAGTTAAAATCGTGTTACAAAAATATGTATGTGAATGATATGAAACAAGCATAAATATAATATGTCTATTCATAGAAAACATTAAAAAACTGTAGCCTAAAAAATAAAAGGATAGTTTCTGTATCATTACTTTATATTGATTGAAATTGAAATTATATTATTAATCGTAAATATTAATTATTGTAGAGGCGATTTGCAACGAAGGAATAATGTCTAGGACTATTTTTATTTGAATAATGCAAAATTTATAATATAATTGCAACAGTAATTTTATGTGTACCATCTAATGAATCAAATGTTTTTTTTTAATTCGATGATATTCATTGCTCAAGTGAATTTATTTAATCCTGATTTATTTAATTCTAAATTTTACCATTTTTACAATAATTCAATAAAGAATTGAGAAAACTATCTTATTTTAATTTAATGAAATTGACATTAAAACAATGAAAAAAAAAATATATCAATTATTTATGTGTGACTGTGATTTTTACGTAATAATAAAAACACTATTATATAAGCAAAGATTATTAAGTAACAAATAACTTTTATTAATATAATAAATAAAAAAATAGCAAAGCCTTGAATAACTAGTAAAAACTACATATGTACCTTCCATTTCCAAAGCTATGGGAATGGGACCTTGGCAGCGTTAAAAGAAGATAAATATAAGCAATACAGCGTAAAACAAGATTTTGATTAAAAGTTTATGAGACAGTTATTTATTAGTTAATTCCAATACCCATTGTGATCCCGGGCACACCATTCAGAATATAAAATTAAGATTACACAAAGAATATACATTTTTAAATTACCTTCGCATAAAGGGTAATGTAAAAAAAAATGCAAAAATACCAATTTGGCTGAACGCACAAACCGTGCATGCCATAAAAAAAGAAAAAAGAAGAAGAAAAATACCAATTGAATATTATTAAAATAATTAATTAGTTAATTGTACCGGTTCTGGTTATAATCTCATAAACTTTTGAAATAATTCTGCCTTTTTCTTTTTCATTGAAAACATTTGATAATTAAAATGTTTTAAATTGTTATCGAATCTTGTACCTAGGATTCATGAAAAAACAGAAAATTTGAGTTTTAACAAACTACCAAGTAACTTTAATAGTAATGTAATTTACATTGATATTTTAATACTATGATTTATAGTAATATTGTATAAAATTTCCAAGTATTATAATAAAAAATTAAATAATTTTACTTTTTTATATAATGTTTTTTTAGAAAAAGAAAGAGGCATCTCATTCCCATAATAATTACTTTAGCAGGTATTTGATGAAAATGGCGTTCAATTTCATATTTGTCATAGAAATACTAATAAAAAATAATACTAAATGGCGCCACGGTAGAATGAGTGCGAACTGCAAATGCAAGCGATTGGCGCCAAAATTTAGCAAACTGCATAAAAGTAATTATGAAATTTTTAAATAAGTTTTGCAATTTGTAAATGAGGCTAGTTAGAATGCTAAGTTTAAAAGTTTCAAAACATAACATTTTCAGACTAAAGTTCTATCATCATTTTACATAGCAGTGATTCCCTAGATAGTGATAATAAATATTCTTATAATATCAAATGAAAATGTTATGTATTAAGTATAGATGTGACAATGAAATAATGCGACTTTTATATTATAAACGCTTAATTTCCATTTTATGGTAAAATTTCGTTTGGAGATAGTAAAGAGGACAACTAAATAACTTAAGGGGAACGGACAATTTATATGAGGGGATGAAAGAGGAAATTATGTTAAGAGACACAGATGACAGGAATAAAAATGAAAACAATGATGATTATGTATATAAATTTTCAGAATGGTATTAGTAAACACCGATTTTTTTGTTGTATACGTCTAATCGGATACAAGTGGAGCATTTCAATATCCATACACTGTATGCTGATTTTTGAATATAAACTAAAAAATCCGAAAGTCCAATAAGTACCTATTCGTTAAATGAGTAAAGTGCGTTTCATCAAATAGTTCCTATGCCGTCATGTTGGCACACTGTCTGTCAACAGTGTCATCACGTTAAGACATCTCTCCTGGTTAACTTGTAAGCCAATCAAATTGCTTTGTTAAATTGTTAACCAACATGACGGCATAGGAACTATGTGATAAAACGCAGTATAGATCGCGGTGTACAGTTTTTTACAGTGCAAGAAAAAGAAGTGTAAATGGTTCATATACAAGGTGTCTTTCTTTTTTAATTTATTTATTCAGCAAAAAAATTTACATGTAAAATTACATTATATCTGCCAAACTGCAACGCAGTTTGTGCGCAGAGTTCTCGTAGAAATATTATCATATTTCAAATCATCATACTATAATATATGTTAACTTTCTATGACAGAGAAACAAAAATAATAAGAGAAAAGAGAAAGCAATCAACCAAATTTTTTTTTCTTCTTAATATCCCTTTCGTAGGTACTATCTGTCTGCTTTGTTCACTATTTATTCTTTAAGACGTATACGACAAAAAAGCCGCCACCCTATCTGAATTTATACTAACGAGTTAGCATACCTATTACTACTGAGTTATGGGTATGGAATTTTCTTAAATGATTTAATGCAGTAATAGATGTATACTTTGTACATTACACATTACATTTATACTATGTTTTGTGTAGTTCCCAGTTACTTGTTTTCAAAATAATGTCACGTTCGGTTTTTACACATGTATCGTCCATTTTAATCTAGGCAAGTCTGTTGTTGTATGTTTGCGCAATACTTCCAGCTCCATGTTACTGCACAGTGGAGGCGCGGCTAACTTTGACGTTCAGTGTGTATGTGTAAAAAACTTATATCTATTATTATGTGTGTCTGTAAAATACTCCCTTGCCGACTTTCTTGTCGGTTCTTCTCAGTATTCTCCCGCTGTAGATTTGCTGTGTATGCCGTACCCTGAACTTGAATTGAACTCGTAGCTCTGTATTCAAGGGCGGATCCAGCTTTGGCGCCAGGGGGGGGGGAGCGTCATATAATAAATAATAATATGTAGGAAGGCCAAAGGGGAAGATCTTCCTCCGAGCTGGGTGACGACCATGTTTAGCTCGGGGGCCGCGGCCCCCGAGGTAACGTCACCCAGCTCGGAGGAAGATCTTCCCCTTTGGCCTTCCTACACTGGTGACCCCGTTCAAGAACACAAAGAAAAAATGGAAAACGAACCAGCTACAGCATCCGCTTCATATGGAAACTTGCAAGAAGTCTCCGGTATCGCACTCTCGATGCGTGTCCCACCCTTCTGGCGAGATCGACCGCGTCTTTGGTTTATAACATTCGAAGCCGCAACCAACGAGTTGAAGAAAAGTGAAGCACGAAGGGCTCAGATGGTTATCGCACAACTGGACAAAGAAGACATAGAGCAAATATGCGACATACTTTATGACCCACCAGCCGAAAGATACTACTCAATCATCAAGGAGCGACTAATCTCTGTCTATGAGGAATCGGACGGAAAGCAACTACAGAAGTTACTCTCTGATATGGACCTAGGCGACCAGAAACCTAGTCAGTTACTCCGCCGCATGAGAACCCTCGCTCGTAACAAAGTCCCCGACAGCACACTCCGATTGATGTGGATGAACCTCCTACCTCCGCATGTTCGCTCAGTCCTCGTCGTAAGCGACACAATTAGCAAGGATACCGCGTTGGATGAACTCGCTAAGCTCGCTGACAAAATGCTGGAGCAAAATCACGAAGTCTCCGCGATTGCATCAGTTTCTTCACCATCGAACCCGCAAAATAAACAGATCGATATACAATTCCTGGCAGACGAATTAAGGAGGCTACATTTAGAAATCGCAGACTTCCGAGAATTCCGAAGAAACTACTCGTACAGTCGAGCGCCAAATCACCATTTTTCACGACCAGCACAACGCCGTAGTCCAAGGAGCAGAAATAACAGCCGCTCGCCATCTCCTCGCTACCGTAGCGGACCATCACGTTCTCGATCTTCAACCCCATCACCATTCTGTTTTTACCACCGCCGATTTGGAAAAAACGCAAGACGATGCACAACACCCTGCAGTTTCAACAACCACGAAACGCCGGAAAAACAATCTTCAGCACCATAGACCTCAACCGCGCATACCAACAAGTCCCAGTTCGTGACGAGGACATTGAGAAGACAGCCATCATCACACCGATGGGATTGTTCGAATTTCCTCGAATGTGCCCAGGTCTCAAGAACGCAGGACAAACCTTTCAACGGTACATCCACGAAGTTCTAAGAGGGCTACCCTTCGTATTTCCCTTCATCGATGACCTACTCCTAGGGTCCGAAAATGCCACGCAGCACAAAGAACAGCTACGCATCGTACTAAGCAGACTCGAAGAAAACGGCATAACTATAAACCCGGCAAAATGCAACTTCGGTCAATCAGAAGTGCAGTTCCTGGGATATACTGTTTCACAAGAAGGCATAAAACCACCGCAGCAGTGTAGGAAGGCCAAAGGGGAAGATCTTCCTCCGAGCTGGGTGACGTCGCCGCCACAAATATAAATAATAATAAATATTTCCAATACACACCAATTAGCCTAGCCCCAAAGTAAGCACTATAAGGCTTGTGTTATGGGATGCTAGGTTAACGGATAGAATACATATACTGTACATATAAGTATATTTATATAGAATACATATAAACATCCATGACTGGAGTACAAATGCTTGTATTCATCACACAAACATCTGCCCCCACCGGGATTCGAACCCGGGACCTCTCGAGTCGGCGACACCATAAAACCCGGCGTACAAACCTCGGCCACGGAGGTCGTCAATATACTCGTGGTCAAGTCACAGTGGGTACAAATGGACCCAGCCCAGGGGGGGGGGGGGGTCATGACCCCCATGACACCCCTCCCGGATCCGCCCTTGTCTGTATTGTGCACGGTGGATGCTGGGACGTGGCTGTGTGTCTGTGTGTGTGTAAAATACTAGCTAGCTGACTTTCTTCTCAATTCTTCTGAGTACCAAATCTCCCTCCGTAGATTTGCGTACCTGGCGAAGCCTTGACTGAATAAATGATATAGTATTGTGTACTCACAGCTCCATATTGTGCACGGTGGAGGCGTGGCAGGTGCCGGTGACCTTGACGTGGCAGTGCTTGTGGCAGCGCAGGCAGCAGTCGCGGCACTCGTAGCCCTGCTTGCCGAGTCGCCGCGCTATCGTCTTGTTGCATACCTCGCACACTGTGCCACTGGGGTATTTATATGTTTATTAAATTTCGTTTTATTTTTATGTGTAACATATTTTTCTTGTGCAATTTGTGGGAGTGATTACGTGAAGTGGGACGGAAGTGTGTAACAGGATGTTTGGGAAGCGCGCGCTATTTGATTTAATTTTAGAACATAATGTTCAAATGGCTTGTTCCTTTTGTAGTAGGTTTTATTTCTTTTTTTACTAATATAAGGTGAGTTTTGAAATGTTACACATCATACGGGACTACTGTAAGGCTCGCTCGTTTTTCCCCCACTTTTTTAAAGAAAAGCATTCAAGGTGGTCGTTTAAAGACATATTTTTATACTAGCTGACTCGGCGAACTTCGTACCGCCCAAAAGTAATAATTTGCAATGAAATTGTAAATGCATTTTTTGAGCAAGTGTGTTGAAAAATAATTTTCAACACTACAGGAGAAGGTGCGTGCGTAACTTACCGCACTTATATCATAAATAACTATTACGAGTACAATACAGCGAGTACTGTGATGAGTTTAATAATTAATTTTATGTATAAAGTACGTCATAACAAAAACCATTTTTAAATTTCGACATGAGTGTAGATAAAATATTACATTTCCGTATTAAAAATCTAAAAAGAACTAAACTCACCCGCTAAGATGCTTAGCGATGAACGTGTGCTCATTGTAAATGTGCAGTTTGACCCCCTTCCGTCGCCATCTTGATCTCTGCGCGACCGTCAGTGGTACCAGGTAATGTTTCTTAATTCCAGCTTCCATAGTTTCCAATACTAACGTAGACGCTTCATGGATGAATGTCCTCGCAGATGCGGTGGAAAACCCGGACATTTCGCTGAGAGAGGACCTTTTGTCGTTAACAATTTATTTAGGGGGATGGATCGGTAAGTTTAGGGGGATGGGTAGGTTATTCGGGGGATAAATGGGATAGGGGGATGCATCGGTAATTTTAAGGAGAATGAATGGAAGAGCAATTTTAAATTTGGTGAAGAGGACGATGTGGATAAAGGTGCGGGTGTAGGATTGAAACAAATTATTAGAAAAATACAGTAACAAAAACGGGAAAAAATAGTGAAATTGATAATATTTGCAGTCATTGAAATGCATTCGAATAAAAGTATTGAAGCAAGTGAAAGCAATGAAAAAATAATATACACGATAAAAACAACCAGCCGTCGTGCAATTGAAGTGCGAAATAAACGAGCATAAATATTCATATTTTTGCAAGCAGAAAAACAGTCGATATTGAAATTATTCATTAGTAAGAAAACCGGTGTTACCAGATTGCGGTGCGTTACCCCCCAGCAGATGTGAGTGTTGTCAGATGGAAAAAAGAAGAAAAAACGCACAATTACTTTCCACATAATTGTTTGAATTCATACATATTATAAATATCATAACATACTTAATGGATAAATAATATATAATTATATAATATATTACCCCCAGTTGATGTTTGGATTTATTTATGTTTAAATTATTAAGATAAATTTATTCTACCATCAACAAAGGGTAAGTCAAATTAGATATTATATAGTTGATTTAATAGAATCACAGTCTGTGTATAGTACTTTAAGTTACTACACTGTGATACTACTCGTATGTTGTGAATGTTTATGAAAATATTACTTTGGCAAGACAGCATTATTATCAAGTTAAAAGCTGTTAGTTAACTAACATCCAGACTATAAATTAAATATAAATATATAATTAAAGTTAGGATTAATAATGTAGTCTTGCCATGCCACAGCCACTACTTCATCTGCAGTAACTCCTTAAATAATATAAATACAGTGCGACAAGGATTTTTATGAATGTAACTGACAGTTCAGAGAGGGCGCTGATGCATGCTAAATGTTTCAAAAATCTCTTGATTTTTAAAGGTACCTGTCATGATGTATATTTTATTAATTTCGAAAAAATATACGTATTTTTTTCTCACTTGCTATATATTTCATGATTATTAATATACCACGAACGAAAATATAAACATAAAATAAAGTGCTACTGTTTTTGTTATTATTTTGCTATAAAACCAATAAATTACTATGGCCAGAACTTTTCTTAAAAAGAACTTAAAATAAATCATCCTTTTTTCATTTAAAGAAATACGGTTCTTTTATAAACAGAATTTAATTATTTGAGAAATTTTTGATAAGCTAATGTTTTATTTATTATATATTTATAATTTAGTTATTGTATTAGTTAATTGCTGATTTATTTTATTTCGTGTTTTATTTGTCCCTTAGAGCATCTACCGTTTACCCTTAACTTCCGTAAACTAGCATCAGTTCCAAAGAGGGAGACTCTGAAAAGCTCTGGCGATACAAAATATGACGTTCAACAAAGATGGCGGCGTTAGTTCCGAATTTCGCCACCCTTTATAAAGATCCCTGTCGCACTATGGTCGCACTGTACTTATGTCAGAAGAGTGACACTTCTTAACTAAACTTATGCTAGGCCAGACAGAGACATGGTTTATGAGTGGGCTGAATAATTTCGATACAAAGAAAGTACTTTGTAATACCCTTAACACGAACCAATATCGAATTCGTAACGTTTGCGAGTCCGCAAAGTCATTGTCAAATGTGTACTGATTTTTAGTTCTCGTTACGTCCGTTATGGCGCTGCTGTTCAGGTTTCCATACAAAAATTGACAATGACATTTCGAACTCGCAAACTATTCTAATTCGACATTGGTTCGTGGTAAGATCTTAATGAAATTTGGATGAAGAACAACCCCTACTAGATTTCAAAAGAACAATTTATCAAAGGGCATAATAGTTTTGCCCAGGTTTATTGGCCAAGCGATTATGTGTATCAGTGGTGAGAAGAATGTAGTACATTTTTTTTATTTTTTTTTTAATAAATAGCCCGTCAATTCTTTACGTCCCTTTTTAGATCCTGGGTTTTAGGAGAGAAGAGTTTAGAGTTGCTAAATATTTTCTCACCTTCTGGATGTCCTAGACTCATCTCCTGACTGCGCGGGCGACGCTCCGGCGGAATATACGTTTCTATTGGGGACGGATAAGGCTTTATCTGTTGACAAAAATATATAGTGATTTCTTAATTCAATTAATTCAACAAAATAAAAAAGATTTTTGATCTTAAAAAATAATTTACTAGATAAAATTCCACACAGACCAGGCGGCAGATGGGACTCAAACCTGCACCCTCCGCTATCCGGACGGATGCACTGACCATTATGCTACAGCGCCCCTAATTGTCGAATCGTAACTTTTTCTAGTGTAATAGTAAAATCGTCAATTAAAAATAAGTAAATGTCTCACGAGGAGCTCGATGGCGTTGGTGGATAGCGCGTTCGGCTGCGATCATTGAAGTTAAGCAACTTTCGCAGTGGTCGGTCATTGGATGGGTGACCAAAATCTTCTATCTCGAGTTCCTCCGTGCTTCGGAAGGCACGTTAAGCCGTTGGTCCAGGCCGCATCTGCAGTCGTTAGCACCCACCAATCCGCACTGAGCCCGCGTGGTGCGTCATGGCCCAATCTCCCTATTCCATCCATAGGGAAGGCTTGTACCCCAGCAGTGTGGACATTAATAGGCTGATGATGATGATGAAATATCTCACCATGTGAATTCCTTTCGGCGCTGATGCTTCGGACGCGGTTCTGGTTGTCGACGTCCGAGTCGGGCAGGTCCAGCGACGTGCCTCGAGTGCGAGACCGGCCCAATCTGTATGCCGATATTAGACAGATTATTTCATCTTCATAATAAAATAAATGAATAAATATATTGTTTTAAACTTTCATAGTCATTAACATTATAGCTATTAACGGGATTGTTACCATGTACCTTGTTTTTGAGTTACTCCGTGATTATGGCGCTTGCAACAGTGCCGAAATATCGGACACTCATAAAAAACAAGGTACATGGTAACAATCCCGTTAATAGCTATAAAATAAATAAATGATCAAAAACCCTTTGCCAATAACATATTCTTTAGTTTAGAACGAAATATTTTGTTTAATAACAATTTTTTTCGTCAAATTACATATTAAATAACCAAGTTATTGGAAAAAGCCTATTGGTCATTTTTTTATTATTAAAATATAAAAAAAAAATATTACCTACTCAAGTAAACTATAATTACTAAAAATACCTAAAAATAAAATATCCATAAATACATAAATAATATATAATATAATTTATAAAAATAGGCATATAATGGTGTCGATTCTGGCATGATTCTCTAAACTTAAAACTAAATTTAACATCAGTCTCTCCTTTTCATTCTGTATAGAGAACGACAAGGATACACTGTTGTCAAATTTAAGTTTAGGTTTAGAGAATCATGTCAGAATCGACATCAATATATACATACACTAAATTAGTTAGAATTGAATTAATATGATGATGATTATAAAGAATATTTATCTAAGGGACAAATCTTGTAAATGCATCTCTTTATTGTCTGATTTACATGCACTATGGCGATGAAATGAGTCAAAAGCTACAATACAAATATTTAACACCCTGGTATCATCTGTATTTGCAAATAAATATGATTTAATTTGATAAAACAAAAGACTGAAAAATCGGTAAACGAAAAGTGATAAATATATTGAACGTTTGAAAATAACACTTGTTGAATAAAGTTTAGGCACTTCTTTTTGAAAAAAAAATAAAAGCACATTAATAAGATTTTGTAAGATACAGCGATAACTATAATAAAAGTTTGAAAAGAACATTTTTTTTAAAGTTTAGGCAATAATAAGTCATTTGAAAAAAAGTAAATAAATAAGATTTAATTGGGATGTAAAAAGAAAGAACTTTTATTAATTTGATAAAAATAATTATTCAAACTTATTCAAAGAAATTCAACAGGTCTGCTTAGCTCACGAAATTCGGGTGTATCCTCTCCTTCTTTGTGAGAAATTTAATTAAGGTATTAGTGGTTAACTAAACCACGAATACCTAAATTAAATTTCTTCTCTCTCTAATACCTTCTCTTAATGGTGCCAAAGAAGTCTCTTCTTCTCTTCTGCCTTGGCGCGGGCTCGGGGGCGTTCTCCTTCTGATTGTTCACATAGTCGCCCTGCTGTTGGACACAATACTCTACGTCAGTTCAAATAAGAATCAAACTTGCTTAGCTAAGGGTTGCTAACGTTGAAATCATTTTGTTTACTTATAATTTATGAACGCTGTCAATACGTACACCAAATTTGGAAGCGAAGCGATATTACACAAAGTTCGTAACGTTCGAAGCTTTTGCCACACCTGCGTGATTAAGGCATCCATGCCAACCCCCTATGGAGGCGGCTAGTGTGCTTTGCCTTAGTGCAAAGCAGTAGCAATAAATATAATATGTAATAATTAAGTGATTTTAAGAAAATTGTATTATCAGGTTACGATGGGGCTGGAATGGACAATTTGGTCCGAAAGTCCCTTAAAAAAAACGAGTGTGCTTATGACCACACGACTGAAGTGAAACTTCTTTAGCTCCATCAAGCGAGCGTAAAGAAGTTTTACTTCAAAAACACCTACGTAACGGAACTTCGACTGGCTCTGGTACTAAAATGCGCTAAATTTAGTACGCTTCTTCAGCTGCAATACATATTTATCGTCTTCGACAACTACTTTTAGCGCATCAAATTATCGCCAATCAGTCTATCGTCTAAAAACACGCAGCCCGCTGATTCATTACGACCTGATATTGTATATACAAGACAAAACTAATTCAATTTCCGAACGCAAATTTTTAGTGCATTTAATGTCAAAGTCACCCGAAGCTTCGTCGCGAAGGTGTGGGTGAAGCAGAGAAGACCGAAGGGAACTTCTACTTCGTTTCGCTTCGCTTCGCTCCTGATGTGGCAACGCACTTTGTGCAGTTCAAGTAATGTTCACTAAATATGTATTGTTGGATATCGTTTTCACTTTTCTCATTTACCTAATTGTATTTAATTTCAATCCATTTTGTAATATGTGAGTTCTACTTGAAATCGAATAATCATTGATTTAAATAAATATGTAATAAGTAAGTGAGTATTTATAGAATTATTTCATGTCGTAAGTATAATTTTATAAATAAATATGGTACTTTTATTCTTATTCTTTTTTTTAAAACCAATAGTGTACATAAAATAAGGGCACTAAAATACAACAAAGTGCATAAAAACATGCCTAAACAAATTAGTATTATTATTTGCAAAAAAACTAAAACATAAATTGAAAAGAAAAGATATGGCACCTATTTAATTTTTATTAATAAAAATAGTTCCACGAATGAGAGAGTGAGATGGAGATCTTTACAGCAAATTCCGATCTAGGGCGACACCATATTGCTTGTTTGATGAGTTTTTTAAACTCTGGAATAGAATTATATTTAAATAATGTATATATACCTACTATAACTATACGATTGCTACTTTTGCAAACTATTTTTGACGTGACAACGTCTTAAATTAGGTTGCGGCTGGGAGTCACTTATGAAAAAGTGTAACGCTCGGTAACGTTACGATGAGTCTCTCGTGTTAAGTTTAAGTTTACATGTACAATGTTTTAGTAAACAAAATATATTTCTATAGTTAAAATTTGTGCAATTCTTATTTTCATTCAATTCCTTGTTCCTATTGTGCAATTTAATTATATTCATATCAATAAATATTCTACCGAGAAAAAGACGTTTCACGTAAAATCTTCGCCCGTAAAACCGACTTTACAGGCAACCATTTTTTAATATATAATTTTAGTTTTTGGAAATCAAGATTGTTTTCATAATGCAGATTCGGTTACAATTCGACTGTCACAGGGACATTATTTCATAGATTCTTGCAGGCCGGCAGGGTGAGGATGGCTCGTGCGGCAGGTAGAACTGCTGTATCAGCTATCTTCGTGTCTGGACTTCACCTAAGGACTGGACTTCACTTAACATAAGGTGGGGTGGAGTCATCAGGAGTCAAAAATAAATGCCATGTCTTCCCTTTTCTAAAGCTTTTCTATAATCTAAAGCTGACAAAGATACTTACCGCATCTCCGTTCTCTGTCTTTTTATCTCCATTCTCTTTTATCCTTACGCTTTTACTCGGCGAAGCGTTGGGAGTACCAACAGTTCTCTTTGGTGGTACCTCCTCGTCTATTTTGTCTATGGTCCTTTCCTTTTGTTCATTATTTGGTTGTTCTTGTTCGTTCTCCGATGTTTCTCGTTCGACTTCGACGAATTTGCCGGAGTCGGTTAGTTCAACCTTTTTAGTGAGGGTAGCGTTAGTAATGTCACACGGTACAACACAACACTATTGGTTGACATTTCATGAATAAAAAAAAACAAAGGAGTTTTTGGCGGGATTTCATCGAGTGCGGTTGGCGTCTTTATTTTAATTATTCTTAAATTCGTTCATAGTGGATATTGTGAAATAAAATTGGTGTGATTTTGTGTTACAACCGTCTGAGTAACTGAAGAATTAGTGGAATACGCTATTCCGGTCAAGTGGACGTGAGAACTTTATCGAAGTGTTGGCTACCTCACACAATCTTATCGAAAAAGCCTACTCGATACATTTCGTGCCAAACACGCCAAGAAACATTAGAATGTGTCACACCGACCTTCTAATGTAAAAAGAAAAAGAATATTAATATAACAAAAGATCAGGCTGTATGGGCATTGTTCCCTTTGCCTTCCCTAAAACGGGAGAATCTTAAAAAAAGGAATAAACAAAGATATTATGAAAATGTTAATAATATTAAAAAAAATGGATAATTTTAATAGATAATTGTAAAAAAAATTGTTGTATAGTACACATTGACAAAATAAGTAATACTTTCAAATTTCGAATAAAGGGCGCCCATTTTCATATAGAAAATTGAATCACTTATTTCTCTTGGTCTTGTTCATGCACACACACCATTACTTAAGAACGACTTTACCGATTAGATCCATCTTATTTTAAGTTTTCATATACTTTGTAGCACCGAGGGTTTTGTACACATTTGTAGGTACGTAAAAAATAATGCCGTATCTCTTTTTTACGTTAGCTTAAAAGTTTGATGTTTCCACAAAGCTTCAAGAGTCTGTCGACTTGAATATATAATTTAAATTTCAACTCAATACCTCAACGCAGTCCCGAGATAAAGGGTTTTGACAGACGAGACACATAAACGGCAGTATCTTTTTTTACGTAACTTGAATATTATTTTTTTCACAACTTCAAGGGATTCCGTTTTTACTTTTGAGGTATGTACTAATAATTAAAAATACTTTGCAAGAGAAAAAAAATTACCCAAAATTGGTAATTAACATAGTATTGCTACACGCTGAACACGAAAACCAAATAAGTAGGCAGTAGCTTATCATAAAATAGTAGAACTATTTTATTCTTGCTCTTTGTTATTTATTTGATCTCTTTCTCAAATGTTTAGGTATTTGTTAACCGACTTCATAAAAGGAGGAGGTTTACAATTCATAATATTTTTTTATAATCACAAAATGTCAACCAGAAATGCTAACGTCAGGAAAACCAACAAAACTAAACAAAAGCATGCTTCGGAAAAATTTACAAGAATTTATCAGGTACTAATATTTACAACAATCAAAAAACAAATAGAATTTTTAACTATTTTAAAAATTCAACCAAAAAGTATAGTCACAAATTTAGTTAAGTTTTTGTTTTAATCTAAGGTCACAAAGCACTAACAATTTATTGACGCATTCTGTGAGGTGTGTTGTTATAAAGTATTTTGTTAACCAAAATCGTTTTATTTAATTTTGGTTAAGTTAACCAAAATGATTATTAATTATATATTTGTATAAAAAAATAAAATAGCTTTAAATTTTAAAGGCTTTTTAACAACATTATATCAATTTCGTAGTTTTATATTTTATTTATTGAAAGCAAGAAAAATCTTTAATATTGAGGCGGAGTGTTTGGAATCTGTTCTGTCTAAAAAGCGAGCAAATATTTTTACCTAATTCTTAAATAAATGTATTTTTCATGAACTTACCTTTATAGATTTTTTCGGCTCCTGAGCATCCAACCGGCAGCAAAAGAGGATGGGAAAAAATAAAAATCATGTTAAAACACAAAAACACTCGAACACAAATAAAAAAAACACACAGTTAGTGAAAGAAAGGATTTTTATTCTACTGTATTTTTCGATTAAGTAGGTATTTATTAGGTACTTTTCGTTTTGAACGAGCTAGTTTTTGAGATAATTATATAGAAGTGCACAAAATTCTCAGCAAAATATTAGCTAATAATACTGAATCGGGTGGTGTAGTAATAGAGGAATTTGTAACCAAATTAAATTAAGGTGTTATAGTAGTTTAGTATGGTAGTGGTGTCGATTCTGGCATGATTCTGGAAACCTAAACTTAAATTTTACTACAGTGCACCCTTGTCATTTTTTATATGGAATGAAAAGTAGATGTTAAATTTAGTTTTAAGTTTAGAAAATCATGCCAGAATCGGCACCGGTGTAATGTTATAAAGTGCATTTTACATGCGAAGTGTTATAGGATGTATTTGAGTGTAGTGTGTTGTGACTTGTGATATAGTTTAGGTGGGTTTAGTTATTGGTGTGTAGTGTATTATTAATATCATTTTAATTTATTTTAAAAAATAAAAATATTTTTTTTTATAAGAAACTATCAACAAAATGTTCTTAATATTGTATAGGAATAAATAGTGAAGTCTAGTTTGGTGAAGAGTAGTGTAGTAGATAACAATCTGTACCCTAAGCACGAACCAATAACGAATTAGAATAGTTAAATTTTATCTCGATACACGTCAAATATCAAGAAGTTTTGTATAGAAGAATGCTAATTCTCGTTACGTCCGCTGTAGCGCTGTTCAAATTTCCATACAAAACTTCTTGACATGTGACGCGTATCGAAATCGTATTCGAATAATTTGCGAGTGCGAAATGTCAATGTGAAAATTGTTGGGAAACTTGAACAGCAGCGCCACAACTAAAAATACCACATTTGAAGTTTATCTAGATCTATTCGAATTCTATATTGGTTCGTGCTAAGGGTACAGTAGTGTAGTTTAGTGTAGCACTTATAGTGTAGTTGTAGTACACTGACCCTTTGAACGGAGTGTATAATAAGTGTAGATTTGTTGGCAGCACTGGTTGGACTCAGTTGTAGTTCACGTAGTGCTGACTCTGTCAACTGAGCACCGTCGTTGCCTGCAATAAAATCAATTATAAATAAATAAATATTTCCAACACTCACACCAATTAGCCTAGCCCCAAAGTAAGCACGTAAGGCTTGTGTTATGGGATGCTAGGGTAACGGATAGAATGCATATGCAGTACATATAAAATGTATATTTATATAGACTTCGTTACTTCGTAACGCTATAAAAAAATAGGGGTTGGTGGTAGAAGGGTGAAAATTTAGGGTTGTATGTATTTTTGTATGATGTATCATAATGAAATTAAAAAAAAAATAACCAAAATTGAAAAAAAAAAATTTTGGGGTGGATTACCCTTAACATTTAGGGGGATGAAAAATAGATGTTGTCCGATTCTCAGACCTACCCAATATGCACACAAAATTTCATGAGAATCGGGAAAGCCGTTTCGGAGGAGTTTAACCACAAACACCGCGACACGAGAATTTTATATATTAGATAATGTGTGTGCATGGAAGTTGGAAGATAGGTCGGCGAAGGCTGAAACGTTACGAGCGTCACACGCGAGAATATATAAAATATATACAGGGTTAATTTTAAAACACCAACAACCTCTTAGGGGGTGATTCTACCCATCAACAGGGACAACTTTTATTATGGGACCAACGCTGAAATCGCGGAAAAAAATCTGCTGTTTCATACAAAAGTGTATCAGCTAATCAACGAAAATGTATCATCATCATCATCATCGTCAGTCTATTAATGCCCCCACTGCTGGGGCACAGGCTTTCCCTAAGGATGGAATAGGGAGATTGGGCCATGACCCACCACGCGGGCCCAGTGCAGATTGGTGGGTGCTAACGACTGCAGATGCAGCCGGGACCAACGGCTTAACGTGCCTTCCGAAGCACGGAGGAACTCGAGATAGTAAATTTTTTGTCACCCATCCAATGACCGACCACTGCGAAAGTTGCTTAACTTCAACGACCGCAGCCGAACGCGCAAACCACTTGCGCCATCGAGCTCCTCATGAGAATCCATCCATCCCGATATGTATGAAACGGCTGATTTTTTTCGCGATTTCGAATACAGTACATATAAGACTATATTTTTTTATAGAAATATACATATTAAACATCCATGACTGCAGTACAAATGCACGTATTCATCACACAACATCTGCCCCCACCGGGGTTCGAACCCGGGACCTCTCGAGTCCGCGACACCATGAAACCCGGCATACAAACCACTCGGCCACGGAGGTCGTCATATTAGTATGTAATTATACAAAAATGGCAAAATATGATAAATAAATTACAACTAACCGTTTTGTTTGAAGACAGTCTTGGTAGTGGTAAGCGTTTGTCCGTGCGGTGACACGGTGCGTAAACTCTCCTTGATCTTGAGGGGTTTAGATCCCATGTCTGGGATATCGGCGCCTTCAATGAATAGGAACTGTGAAAACATTGTTTAATTAGACAGGTATTTATTTATTAGGACCACCAAAGAAAGTTACATTAAATCTTATTTTTAAACATTATAGTGATACATACAAAATGCAAAATTCTATTGAAGGTAGCCACATCATGCTTAAGAGACAGTACGAACGGACCGAATTTTAATTATAAACAAACTGACCACATGTAAATAATGAAGTTTATGAACTATTAGTGGCTTCGAAACTACAGACAATAGAAAACGAATATATATAATTATTCGATATATCAAATTTAACGATAAAAATAAAAATAAAGTTTGCCTACGCATCTCTTAATAACTCAGAAACTTAAGTCCTGTATTAGAAAAGCAATGGAGTATTTATTTAAATGCGGCCCCAAAATGCAACCTTGTGGCGCTCCTTTTTTTATAATAAAGCATTATAGCCGAAATATAGCTGAATATGGATATGTAACATGTCTATTAAAAAAAACCTCAAAATCCAACCTTGTTATGTTTATATTAAAGATTTATTGCAAAATTTGGATAAATATGGCTATGTAACTAATTCTCCATATCTTGTATTGTAAAATTATTAACTAAACTATGTCATCTATACCCTTTATAGTGCTTACTTTGGGACTAGGATAATTAGTGTGAGCGTTGGAAATATTTATTTATTTATCTAACTATTAGGTAATTCATGCAATTAAATTAAATAATCATTTTCTCAAAATATGTACAAAATTTCGTTTTATTTTCTTTATTTATTTACTATCAGGCTACATAGTCCCATAGACAAATACCTTATAGTCTAACATATGTATATACAGAATATAAGACATTGTTGTTAAAAATAAAATAAAATTAGTTACTATGTTAGTAAACACAACGTTAGATATACTAACGAATTGAATCAACGAACGAATCGATTTGAATAGTATTCATATGAATACTATTCAAATTGACTTATTGAAAGCTATTTTGAATCATCAACTTTTTTTCCTTTGTCTAATTCAGGATATCTTTTAGCCACATAAAAAGTAAAGAGTTATACATAGACTTCAACCACAAGTCCCATTTTGTTAATACTACAAGCTAAATAGTTTTTTCATGGCCCTAAAATGAACCTATTCAGCTAAGATAGAGAGTCGTATTTACCTCAACAGTGAGTGTGCCAGAAACATCGTGTTCTTCCATCGGCCGCGTTTGTAATGCAATTTGTTGTCTTTGTGAAGGTGCCGCTAACAATTCGTCTATACCCACTAAACCTAAACCCAAGAACCTGTAAAATAAACCTTAATTGAATACGATACAGCAACAGGCTTAGGGGAATTTTGGTTAGCTTTTGATAGGGCTAAACATTAATTTGAGGGGAACGTTGCAACTTAAAAATAATGGTTATGACGAATTGACAACCTCTACTATTTTTGGAAGTCGCTCGATAATTGAAAATCTTTAAGATTACAATATGTTAAGAAGCTATCTAAAAATAAAATGCAATGCCTAAACTCTTTATTGTACACCACGAAAAACATTGAACATTAAGCACAAAACAATCTAGTACAAGTGATGCAATGGACGGCCTTATCGCTTAAAGCGATCTCTTCCAGGCAATCTTTAAAAATATTGGTCGCCTAAATGTTATGCTGTTAACAGGATATTAAAAATAAAAGAAAGAAGGAAAACCTAGTAAATATCGCTTTAAGAAGTATATGGGTTACTAGTGGCCCGCCCTCGCTTCGCTTCGGGGTAGAATTGATCAAAATCCTTTCTTAGCGGATGCCTACGTCATAACATCTACCTGCATGCCAAATTTCAACCCGATCCGTCCAGTGGTTTGGGCTGTGCGTTGATAGATCACTATGTCAGTCAGTCACCTTTGAGTTTTATATATATAGATTGTAATCATTAACGGGAAACATTTTACCAAATTCTAAAACATAATTTGATTGTAGTTTAACTATAACGTTATTCACAGTATTACAATATATAGAAAATTAAATTCCTAATAATATTATTATAAGTATTATTGTACTTCATTTAGAAGATAAATTTCTGTCAGCTTTGGACACATCATTAAAGCTATGTTACTTAATTCAGTAGGTGCAGAAAACCACAGGTCAAGTTACCCAAAACTGTAAAATTTCCCTAACTGAATTTGAGCCTTACCTTGTTTAATATTTTACGATTCGATTGAGAAAATTTTACATTTTACAGAAACATGATCACATGTGCATACGTGTTTTTTTGTAATGTATTTAAAAAAATAGATAAAATTTTATAAACATTTATAAAAAATCATTATTATTATTAATTTGTTTTAAAACTCTTCAAAAACTCACCTATGCTGTGAAGACCCTCCTCCAGGAGATGGAGGTCCAGTCCGGTCGTAAACTTCGAATAGAAGCTCTGCAGTTTGAGGAGAAAGGTCACTAGAAGAAATAAGATAAATAAGATTTAAAAACAGATTGATGTCTGTTGTCAATACTTTCCTAAAATACCTAAACATTTTTATGACCCGAGAACTTAAAAGTTTTTGAAATAAATTGTAGATATTAAGAGAAACTATAGTTCCGAGCACTTCTTTATTAAAAACCTTGTCAATGTTATTACCCAATCAGTTCTTATTACCCAAGTTTATTAGATTTTTTTACAAGAACAAGGCTCAGTGGACATAAGACGTACCTACTTTGTTGAATGATTGAAATGAAATGTTTAAAATTTCGTTATTCAAGTTGGTTAAGTGATAAAAAAAAAAAAACTAAAATCAATACATCGAATACATCCAGAGTATAAAAATTATTACGATTCGCTTCATCCTCAGATATTCAAAATTATTTCTAACAGACTTACAATAGGAAGTGTTCCTCCCATTGTGGGCAAGTGGTCTCTCTTTTGAAGGCCGTCTGATTCTTCTGTGGAGGCTCATCCATCTCCACCACGCAGTATGGAGCGATACAACCACTTTTACCTACAAAAGCAATGTAACATTAATTTTATAAGCAATTTTTACTAAGCAACAATCTTGCCCGCTTGCCCTTTAAGCCTTAGAATTACTAGAAGAACATTATTTATATTTTCTAAGCATTTAACTGCTAGATGTTTAAATCTAAAGAAAATATTACTAGAAAAAAATCCACGCGGATGAGGCAGCAGACTATTCAACACGGACAACTAGGGCCGCGGTATCATAACGTCAGTGCATCCGCCCGGATAGCGGAGGTCTAGTCCGTGTGGATTTTTTTCTTGTAAATTTTTCTTAAGATTACTAGAAGAAATTAGACACGGCTATTTATTATAGTTGCCCGTAGCATAGTTGGTTAGTGCTCCCGCCTGGATAACGGAAGGTTATTTGAATCCTGTCTAATACCTGAACCGAGTAGATTTTTTTCCAGTAAAATTTTTCTTCTAACAATCTTCGATGAAGGAAACAGTAAAAACGTCGTCTTTTTTTCTTGCGTATTATTTTAGAAAATTATTTAATGATTATTGCAATCGTTGTAGCCAAATTTGGTTAAATTACCTCAATTTGCTAACAGAACAGTTGTTGATTAATCTATATTTCTTTTTTTATCTAAAGCTTTTGATAGGGTCAACTTATAATTTTGCGGAATATTGGAGCTATCATTGCCGATAAACTTCAGTATAATTACAATTATTCAAGCAAATGTATTATTAATCTTAACTATAGGATGATTATTTCTTATTATAATAGTAGGAGTTCCACAGGTGTCTTCATTGGGTACCCATTTCAATTTAAACCTTACTAACTAGAAATAATTTCTTTTTTTGAATTATTATCTTTATGTACAACGTTCTTACCTCCTAGATCTTTAGCAGCGACAACTTTGACGAGTAGTCTTTTATCACCGAGGAGATGCATACTGCCGGCTGTGGAGTTGGGAGTCGAAGTGTACATCTGTCTATCATGTTGTAACTGAAAATATAACAATAATACACTTAATAATAGAATACTCAAACTCGACCAGCACTAAATTTTGATATAGTGCGCTCAAATACACTGAAATTTGAGTTACCTGATAAACTTTACTAGCTAATTCAGACAGCGATACGACATCCTACACATGGCAGTCTTCGCTGAGAGAGATTTGTTCCTTATGAGAGAGAGAAGCTTGTGATAGTCAAGGTAGCATATGCCCCCAGCAGTGAGTATGTCGATAAAATTATAGTATAATGATATAACCAGGGCTGCCGACCGTAGATTTTGTTTATTTTTTCTCGTACTTATGCAGCTAAAAATCTAGTAATTTTAAATTGGCTTTTGAAGCCCGTACACGATTTGTAATCTCCCATCCCCTCCCCTAGAATTAGTAAATCAAATTAACATATAGGCCAACGGGTCAACTAACCATAGACTGTAAAGAAATCTTTTTCTATAATGAAAAATCATGTTATAAATTTATCTGAAAAAATCGCGTACATAATTGTACGAGATGTGACGTGTTCTCGTAGGTACGTGGTCGTACGGAAGACCAGAAATCTCGTATTTGTACGAGAAATCTCGTACGGTTGGCAACCTTGAATATAATCTCGCCATGGAGTTGGAGTAGCTCAAGATCGATCTGAGTGGCGTGCAATTGGAGAGGCCTATGTCCAGCAGTGGACCAGGATAGGCTGTTGGTGATGATGATGATGATGATGGAGTCGTAAAAGAAAATAGAGGACGAAGATCTCACCATAGAATCATAGTGCAGGGGTAGCCGCGGACCGGTGTCGAAGTGTCTGCGTAGACGAGGACACGTGGGGTATCCTGACAGATTGAACTCCAGATGACTGTTCCTTAGCGCTGACACCACGATGTCACTGTAGGCGATTACAAATAAATAGATTAGTGGGTGATTTTCCCAGGCAGTAGTTTTACGCGTCGAGGCTGAAAACAGTAGTGTGGAATTACAAATACACATGTTTTTGAACTGAAACTTCTTTAGGCTCGCTTGACTTTGGGGGTAAGTTGGCGAATGCGTTACGCGTTACGAAAAGTGTGTTCGGGCGAGGAGAACGGGAGTTGAGTGGGGGACATAAGCAAGAGAAAGCAGTGCACAGCAAATGTGCGACCTTTTTATTTCTCTCTTTTTCTTATAGCTAGTAAATGAAATAATGTATATGTACATACATGTATATATTGATATATATACATACAGATGCCGCTAAAGAAGTTTCACTTCAGTCGTGTTGTCATAAGCACAGTCGTTTTTTATTTTTTGTATAGTAAAAGGCTTTGATATCTTCATGAAGCAAGGCAATATATATTTATCACATAAACCTCATTATACACGAGGGAAAAAATATCTTTCCTTCCATTTTCTAAGTCTGGTGGAGCGTCCAGAAACCGTTTTCTTAAAGATTTGTAAATTATGTCCCATATTGAGCAAGTTTTTCGCAGTTATGTTTTTAAAACCATGAAATATACTAGCCATTTCAACTATTTCCAATTTTATTTCCTTTCTGGGGCTTTAAGCTTTGGATTAAGAGCATGCCAGAAAGGTTTGTCTGCGAATCATTGATAATTTTGGTGGGTATACTATAACGCCTGATAGAATAACAAATCTAGTGATAAAACAGGCATTAGCTTCCACAAATCCGCACGTCTGTTCTTCCCATTGCATCCATGGTAAAGGTGTGCCCCAACAGTGGGGACATTAAATTTTTGACGATGATTATGTATTCTCCTACCATCCATAAGGCCGTATACAGAAAGAAAGCCGAAAGCCGATCAGCGCTTATCGGCGCTGATCCTTATTACATAAAGGAAGCCCATTAAAGCAGAGCAAGCAAAATGTCGGACTCATCGGACGATGATTTGGTTTTGTTAGAAAATACGTATTTAAAAATGCGAAAAAAGCTATACATCCTATAAATAGAGAAAGGAAACGTTTCGGAGAATACCATCATTTATTTGTAAAAAAAATGGGTGCGTGTACTTATGTAGGCGCGTGAGAAGTTATCCTTCTTTGGCATCGTTTAAAATTAGTTTTTAATTGCATGCAAATAATTAATTACAGTAAATTAATAAAAAGTCTGGAAAAGGACACAGTCAATAAAGTTCAGTTTTAATTTGAAAAAATAAATAAAATCAAAATATTCAATTAAAATCGCTACTGAATATAATTTATTAGAACATATGTGATTTGCACTTGTATGAAACTCAAACACGTATTCCGAATATACAAACTAGAAACATGTGGATAAATATTATAAATATGAATACCTATAACTGTTACTTTATTACAAAAAATAAAGATGTGGTTTTTGGTTCTACTACACCAATGGTCAAGAGATGGCGCTGTAGTCTCCTGAATCGCGCTTTGGTTCCGTTGTTCCAGATTAATAAATACTTTTGATATTATAAATATGAATACCTATAACTGTTACTTTATTACAAAAAATAAAGATGTGGTTTTTGGTTCAACTACACCAATGGTCAAGAGATGGCGCTGTAGTCTCCTGAATCGCGCTTCGGTTCCGTTGTTCCAGATTAATAAATACTTTTGATAGGCCTTCACAATGCAGTCGTTAGCACCCACTAAATAGAGATTCTATTTCTATTTTGTTGGTAGATTTTCTTAATGTGCGGTAAACACAAAAGTAACGCATGAAGTTGGTCGCTAAAGCGACCAACTTCATGGTGTTAAAATTTTGTGTTACAGTGATGCGCGCGCATCTTAAAATTTCACTCTCATAATTTTTTCATAACACGCCTAAAGAAGTATAACTTCAAAAAATTTAAATTTGATGATCAAAGATTTTATACATATACAAGAATGACTCAAGAAACATTTTATTACATTTTGGATTTAGTGAAAAACCGTTTGATGAAAAATTGGTGTAATTGGCATAAACAACCAATCCTTCCAGAAGAAAGACTTGTTGTCACAATTCGGTAAGTACGAAACAAATAATTTTAGCGCTCAGTTAATAGAAGATAAAGTTATTACATTTATGAAAAAAATATAACTTAGATTGATTCAATCTAAGGATAATTATTCAAATACAAATCATTTATTATTCGGACAACATACGAGTAGATCATAATGACCAGCTGACCAGCGCATGTCGGCATTTGTCGGCGCTTATCGGCGCTGATCGACGCTTATCGGCGCTGTTCGGCTTTCGGCTTTCTTTCTGTATACGGCCTAAGGAAGGCTTGTAGCCCAGCATGGGGGACATTAATGGGTCGATAATGACAATATTCCACCTGCTTGTCTTACCTAATAGCAGTCTGCAAATTGCTTTCGGTAGCGTTTGGTCTGAGTGGCCCCACAGGAGCCAGGGCTATCTTCACCTCCGGCCACCCATCACATTTCAGTTCACCCGTCAGCTTCTCAGTGATGCAGACGACGTTGAGGCGGGCGCGGAACCTGGGAACGCAATGTTAATAGTCTGATTTTAAGAGTTCCTTACAAGTTTAGAGTGTGATGGGACTGCCGTGTACAGTTAAAGTCTCAAAATTAAACAGAAAAAAAAGAAAAAACCTTTTCAAAAGGTAACTAGAGTCTGTGCGGACAGAGAATGGGCGTGGCAAATAACGGAACTAACATTAAGGTTTTTATTTATTAATCAAACCCAGCAATCTGTTAAACGTCAACGGTTTGCATTGATACGGATTTGTTTGTTGTTGTGATTTCTTGCGGTTTTCCTGTATTTAATCATGTCTAAAAGGGGTAAAACCTTACAAAACTGTAGAAAAGCACTACAGCACCCTCCAATCTAAATCCCATTCTCTTTCCGCACAGACTCTACTTACAAAGCTCTATAATATTACAAACAGTCGGCCGATTCTGTAAGATAAAATCTTACTGCCGATTTCGGGAGCTGCCATTTTAGACATAAGTTTGATATGCATTACGCCATTACACGGCAAAATATCGCTATGTCTGTAGAGTCTATGCGGAAGAGAATGGGATTTAGATTGGAGGGCGCTGTAGTGTTTTTCTACCGTATTTGTAAGGTTTTACCCCTTTTAGACATGATTAAATACAAAAAATCGCAAGAAATCACAACAACAAAACAAATCCGTATCAATACAAAACTTTGACGTTTTACAGATTGCTGGGTTTGATTGCCAAATAAAAATCTTAATGTTAGTTCCGTTTTTCGCCACGCCCATTCTCTTTCCGCATAGACTCTAGAAGCAGCCACTATTAGATATTTGACATTTGTCATAAATCCGAATAAATGTGATCGTTAGTGAGACTACATCTTACAGAATACATCTTCAGTTTCTGTGCCCCTAGCACGAACCAATATCGAATTCGTATCGTTTGCGAGTTCGAAATGTCATTGTCAAATGTGTCCTGATTTTTAATTCTCGTTACGTACTTTGTGCCACTGCTGTTCAAGTTTCCATACAAAATTGGACATTGACATTTCGGTTTGCAAACTATTTGAATTCGATAATGGTTCGAGCTAGGGGTACTGTTGTAATTTTTTATGAAGTGTAATGTTCTTTATTAATATTTCTATTGCAACTTTAGTCCAAAGCAGGCCGACTAAACAATACACTGAAGTCATTAACCTCACCATGTATCACCAAAGGGGGGCTTAAAAAATGCCAAATAAAATATCGCCGATCGGATGAATCACTATTACAAATAATATTTATTTAAATACTCACTTATTGACATTGACTCTGTAGTGGGAGACCTCCACCTTCTCCCCCCTCTGACTGAAGGCTTTGAGCTGGAAGGCAGGAGTGGCATCACAGTCACAGGTGATGGTCTGCAAAGAAAATAAGTAGGTATTAACAGCAAATAAATATTTTTGGAAAGAAGTTCCTTTTCCAACGGTACGGCGGATGGGAGCTACAACAATGATATAACAGAATAGTACATAACTAGCAAACCTGTGAACCAAATGTTCACCAAAAAAAAAAAGTATTTAATTAATTGAGAACTTCGGAGATTTTGTGTGGTTTCGTTTGAAATAGAAATCACGTGATTTCTCGAAAACCGGAAGTGCTACGTTACTCACATCCGGTTTGTACTTATCAGACTATTCTTAACTTATAACTTAAACATTCTCTATATCTATCTCTTACGGTTTGGCCGCTGAAACAGCACCACAGACGGACGGACGGACGGACGGACTTGTCTAATAGATAAGAGATAGGGGTGATGACGGGGTACAGTAAACGAAATTCTATTTAGTCCGTCAGTTAGATGACAATCAACCAAAAAATGACAAAGTTATAGCGCGTCAAAGTGTGGGAGTAGGGGCTCGTGACGTCACTTTTTAGTGAATTTTCACTTAAAAGTGTACCAAAACGTGACGTCATGCGAATTTTCAATTCAATATATGTCTGCAATGTTTTTATTATGTCAAAAAAGAAAAAAAACGTGTCCAATACTTTTTAAAAATCTACCTGATAAACGAAGAATAAAAAATTAGTCATCATCCCTATTACATATACAACAACAAGTGCTTTAGCCCTGTGTCAAATCATTGTTTCATCACCATCAGCCTATTAATGCCCCCACTGCTGGGGCACAGGTCTTCCCTATGAATGGAATAGGGAGATGGGGCCATGATCCACCACGCGGGCCCAGTGAGGGTTGGCAGATGCTAACTACTGCAGATGCAGCCGGTACAACAGCTTAACGTGCCTTCCGAAGCACGGAGGAACTCGAGATAGAAGATTTTTGGTCACCCATCCAATGACCGACCATTGCGAAAGTTGCTTAACTTCAACGATCGCAGCTGAACGCGCTAGCCACCTGCGTCATCGAGCTCCTCAATCATTGTTAATTGACCAATAACTATTTCATTATTTATGCAGAATAATGAGGGTACCCATTCATTAAAGAAATTATGTCGATCAAGGATGTATCGGATGGATGAGTCATTACCGTGGTCATTATATTGAATCTATGATTATTACTTTAATGAAACGTAGTTTGTATACAACGAGAAATGCCAAATCCTATTTGGATGGATGTCATCATACCCGTGCATCATACCACCCACGGGTGCGATAGTGTTTTGTTGTTATAACTTAGAATGTATTCTTATTTTTAGACGCTACACACGGCGGGGATATAGCTCAGTGGCAGAGCAATCGACTGCAGATCGATAGGTCCCCGGTTCAAATCCGGGTGTCCCCTTGGAAAAAAACAAACTTTCTTTTACTTTTTACAATACTTCGAATTTGTTTTATTGTTTTAAAAGGAGCTTGATGGTGCAGTAAGTTAGCGCGTTTGGTCTGCGATCATGGAAGTAAAGCATTTCGCAATCGTCGGTCATTAAATGGGTGACCAAAACCTTATTACCTCGAGCTGCATCGTGCTTCGGCCGTTGGTCCAAGCTGCACTGAGGCCACGGTTGTGGGTCACGGCTCAATCTCGCTATTACATCCATAGGGAAGGCCTGGGCCTCAGCAATGTGGACTTTAATTGTGTTGCTGATATGTAATGATATTTTTAAGTAAGCCTGGGTGTTCCATAGCTACGTTCTTGTTTCCTTAATAGTGTTAAAGTTCAGCTAATTATTTAATCTTAATAGGGTATTTGACAAGTTTTAGAAAACGATCTTACGTTATTGACTATGTTTATGGAGTCCGTAAAAAGTGGATATTCATCATTCTGTTGTGTATTTCAGTAAAAATAACAAAATCAAAAACTCCATTTTCATGTTGCCGCGAAAACGTTTTTCTGGACAATATGGCGTCTTACTAGCGTGTGACGTCACACGACTGTTATTAAAACGTCAAACGATACAATGTAATGTCACTTTATCCGGAAGTTTACTTGCGTGTGACGTCATTTTAGGCTCCGCCGATCCCAAGCGTTTTGGGTCACGTGACAATAGATAAGAAAATTATTGTCTTTTTCGTGGGTTTTTAGTCAAATTATGAATATTTTTTTGGTAATAATAGTAAAAACCCCTGCCAATATTCATTCTAAACACAGATGATAACAATTGGCACTTTATTTTTAATACTGTCAAATACCCTATTATGTAATGGAAGGTGACTTCAGATTTATCTCTGAAGTAATTTTTTTTATCTTGACGACTGTATATAATAACACAGGGAGAGAAAAACAGCTCTTGCTGAGTTTCTTGCCGTTTCTTCTCAGTACAAGGTCTCTCGACGTAGTTTTCCGATATTTTGATTTCGATTTATTATGATTAATAAATATGTATAATTTTCATTTTTTGTAAAGCATGTAACTGCTTGATGTTTAAATCTAAAGAAAATGTAACTAGAAAAAAATTCCACGCGGACCAGGCAGCAGACGGGACTCGAACCCGCACCCTTCGCAATCCGGGCGAATGCACTGACCAATTATGCTACCGCGGCCCTCACGGACCGCGTTGAAATTCTTCTAGCTATTCTTAAGCTGCAAGGCAGCGCCATCTCTTCGCATTATTATAGGTAATCCACAATGTCAAATGAATACTTTTACGAGTATTAAACATTTGAAAGAAGAAATAGCAATTATAGTTATAATTTTTATTTTTTTTAAAGCATGTAACTGCTTGATGTTTAAATCTAATTAATATGTATTTAGGAAATTTATTTACTCTAACAATTTTTGCGTTCCCTTTTGGTACTGGGCCTTATGCATGTGTGTTTTTAATCAATTTGTGTGTCAAAGTATTTGATGACCGGATACTTTGATTGATTGGTCAAATGGTCGATTGCTTTCATAAACGCACGCACGCATTCACTTAAAGCTTATAGCTACATCGTAACGATATTTTTGCTACTTCCATATTAAAAGGGAGGCAGGCAATGTATATTTTCTGTACAAACGCTCTCGGCCGATACTTCCATGATTTTTATTACGAAATGATGGTTTATATATAAAACTAGCGGCCCGCCCTCGCTTCGCTTCGGTGTAGAGCTGAAGTGTAGACTACAGTTTTTGTTCTCAGGCTTATATTATACACAATGACATTCATCTATGATTCTCTTATACCTGCATGCAAAGTCTCAGACCGATCGGTTTAAAATTGACAAAGTTCCATACAAACTTTCATTCCCTATTTTATCCAATTGGGGGTAGAATTGATTAAAATCCTTTCTTATCTGATGCCTACGTCATTACATCTACCTGCATGCCAAATTTCAGCCCGATTCGTCCAGTGGTTTGGGCTGTGCGTTGATAGATCACTATGTCAGTCAGTCACCTTTGAGTTTTATATATATAGATATAATTTCACTCATTCAATGCACCTATGTCTTCCTTTTTTTGATAATTTGTGATTCAAAGAAATTAGAAGCCCGCATAAATGCCAAAACAAACTATTTTTTATCACCACTAAAGACGCCTTAGTGTGGAGATTCAATGAGCATTTATAAAATAAGCAAAACATATAGGCCTAGTATAACTACTTATTATTCTATGGGTGCAATTTCTTTTAATATATCTAATTTTTGAGGAGGAAAAAGTCGAGAACCATTCCTCGAATTTTGCAAATTTAATACACAATTTTCAGCGTTAGCTACTATTGTCCCTATCGCACGGTATTTGCAAATACGTGACGGCAATAGTTTTTTCAAATACTTATTTCTCAAATATCTCTCAGCTCGAGTCGATTCTTAAGTCCACAATGAAGTCGCTGACGGTATTCATAGTCTCGGCCACAGCCTCGACGACTTCCGTGGCCGAGTGGTTTGTACGTCGAGTTTGAAGGTGTCGCCTACTCGAGAGGTTCCTGTGTTCACATCCCGGTGGGGGCAGATGTTTGTGTAATGAATACGATGATTTGTACTCCAGCATGTTAAATATATATTTCTACTATATAAATATAATAAAATATATAAATGCTTATATATGTATCAGCGCAGCTGCGCGGGAGACCCGCCTCACGCTGCACTGCTCTATGAAATAACATGAAAAAAACGCGGAGCGGATGCCTGCTCCGTGCTCCCGCTTAACGCTGCGTAAACTCTTAAAAAAGCACAAATAAACAAACGATAAGGTACATACGACATCATCTTTGGAGTCGCACTCGCAGAACACGTTTGATACGGAGGGCGGGTGACTGTCCAGCGCGCGCACCAGCTCCACGCCGATGCCTTGCTGGAACAAATAAACACAACATTAACCAAAGAGATTCATGTAATTTGGACTAGTGGGTGAGTGCAAAATATTTTATTTAAAATTACCAAGGCCACATAATCATTCAAGGTCTCTTCAGGGCCGTCTTTACCCTATTGGAGCCCCTGGGCATATTAGGATAATGGGACCCCTATGACTTGAATTTTTTTTTCATGAAAACTAAGTACAACACTTATTTCTATTCTGCCAAACTGTGCAACAGTTTGCCGGCAGTGGGTGAGTGCAAAATATTTTATTTAAAATTACCAAGGCCACATAATCATTCAAGGTGTCTTCAGGGCCGTCTTTACCCTATTGGAGCCCCTGGGCATATTAGGATAATGGGACCCCTATGACTTTGATGTGGATTATGACTTGAAATTTAGCGAGTCACACTAATGAGTGTACAACTGATCATTTTTCTTTAAAATGTGTATGTGCTAAGTATACCATTATATGTATATTTAAATTTATCTAAGCATGCTGAAGTCGGAAAGTCTAATTTTCGGGCGAGAGTAGAATAGCTTCGCGCATGTAAAAGCTAGTAAGTTGGTATTGTAGTCAGTAATTTAGGTTCGATTTTTTCGAATTATATAAGTTTTTCGCTAATAAATATCTGTGTCTCTGTGTTATCGTTTTGTGATCTGACAGGAACTAGGGACTTTGTATTTGATCCAAGAGTGGCCTTATCGATCGCGGGGTCCTGGGCACTTGCCCAAAGTGCCCACTGGGAAAGAGGGGTCTGGATGGCTTTTTCTATTCGTATCAGCAAGTGGACGGAAGCGATGAATCGATATGCGTCCCCACTGGCGAATTTTAAGCTTTAAAGCAAGAGCTACTGCGTGAAGTTTTTTTATAATAGAGTTTTTTTAATACGGCTTCCCCACTCAGTGGCAGGACTTTCTTATGCTTTTTTGTATTTTCTTTCTTTTCTAGAGTTTTTCTTTTCTTTTCTTCGTATTTTTATATTCGAGTTATTCTTTTCTCGTTTTTACTCTTTTTTATTTAACATTTGTACAATTCTTATTTTCTATTACATTGTTATTTTCTTATAATTTTACTAATTCATCTAGGTTTTTATAAGTCACTGCTATTTTCTATTCTACAATTTAGTTTTCTCTTACATTTAATACAATTCTTTTCTTAAGTTATTATTTGCTTTTCTTGCTTGTTTACAGCTTTCTCATTAATCTATTTACATTCACGTTTTTTACATTACATTATTTTCTTTACTACATTTCTTTGTCCTTATTTAGACTGTCGTTTGTATTCTATTTATCCTATTTACATTTGCTCGTTTTATTAATGCATTTTGCTATATTTCATTTACAATATTTACATATTTCTCGATTTCTATTTCTACTTTACTTATTTATGCTACGCGCATTTTATTCTGCTCAATTTATCTTTCACTTATCTTCTATTAATATCTCTATCTCTTATTATTCCCCATCCCCATCTTCCATTATTAAGGTCTCCCGCCGTAGATTTGCGAACCGATGGCGTAGCTTTTCGACATTCACAAGTGCTTGTAACAGCCTAGACTGAATAAACGATATTGAATTTTGAATTTTTTTGAAATATTGCTATCTTTCCATGCTCCGTAGTATTTTGTATTTTTACTGCTGGAGTCCCTCCGTGGTCACTTTTTACCTTCCGAGTTTGGGTGGTTGCCCCTGGAGCCCGGTTTGCCCCCGCAAGCCGAGAAATATTAGACGGTAAACTTCATGACTATTTATTTACTAGTGGATGCGTGTAACATCATCGTCTGTTTAGTTTTCCATACAAACGTCCACGCCCCTTTTCACCCCCTTTAAGAATGAACCCGGGGATTAAAACTATCCGATCTCCTTCCCCGAGACTCAAACTATCTCTGTACTGAATTTTATATGAATCGGTTTAGCGGTTTAAGGGTGAGGAGGCAACAGATAGACAGAAACACTTTCGCATTTTTAATATTAGTATCGACTAGTACTGGCTAGACGCCAGCTACTATAGCTGAGGCGATTTTCTGCCACAGTTATTTTGAAGTTAGATGCCATTATTTGTTTCTAAGGTTTACACGCACATCACTCATTAAAGAAAACAATTTTCAACGGGTCAGATGCATTGATTTTGTTTATTTATTGACGTTTCGCAGCCTTTGCAGGAATGCATCGTCCGAATATTCATTAATTCTATTATTCTGACCACGCATTCCTTGAAAGGCTGCGAAACGTCAATAAATAAATAAAAAAACCCGTTGAAACTTGTTTTATTTAGATGTTATTATGTCATACAAAGGAAAAAGATTGCCCTTATACAAAAAAAATATGTATTACATAGTTATAACTACCTTAGGGAGTCTATAAATAAGTATATAATAATAATAATAAATTCTTTATTTATTTCTTCACATAAGAAGAAAAAAAACTCATTTACAATAAAGTGCTTAATTACAATATTTAATTACTTAATGTTAAGACTGGTGCTTGCAATAGGATTAACCTGTTCTACAAGACACTAGGCCTCCACTCCCAAAAGTACATGAACAGCGCACAGAGCATATAAGAAGTGTCCAAGGCATAATACCGCTAAGATGGGATTTTCCCATCTTATATACTTATTTACGAACACACTAAGTAGGGATGCAAAGTCTTTTGAAATATTGATATTATATCGATATTTATATCGAAGTCAGGAAAATATCGATATCCGATATATCGACCATTTTAACTCGATATTATCGATATATCGATATTTTTCATTTTTTTTATTGATAGCAGGTAAATTAATTGATATTATTGTGTTTAAATTTAGTCTACGAAATATCGATATTTTGGAATTTCCGATATCGATATTATCGATATCAGTGAATTTTAAATATCGATATAAATATCGATATTTTGGTCTCGATATCATCGATATTCCGATATATCGTTGCAACCCTAACACTAAGGTAGTTATAACTACACACACACATATCTAATATATAAAATTCTCGTGTCGCGACACGAAATATATACACAAAATATATGTTTGTGGTTAAACTCTTCCGAAACGGCTTTTACGATTCTCATGAAATTTTGTATGCATATTGGGTAGGTCTGAGAATCGGACAACATCTATTTTTCATCCCCCCAAAATGTTAAGGGTAATCCACCCCTAATTTTTTTTTATAATTTTTTTACCACTTTTTTCACCCTTCTACCACCAACCCCTATTTTTTTATGGCGGTACGAAGTTCGCTGGGACAGCTAGTAAATATATATATATATATATATATATATATATATATATATATATATATATATATATATATATGGGATTTTCCAAAATTCAGCCGCTAAAAACTTTAATCAATTTTAAAAATAGAGCTGTGAAAGTCGTTAAATGAGATATGGTTAGCATTAAATATTTACTGTTACTTTTTTTGAAAATTCATCCCCTATGGGGTTGAAAAAGAGTATAATTCCAAAAGGCCATGAGCCGTCTGCTCGTATGCCCCCTATAACATAAAAAAAAAATGGTTGCCTGTAAAGTCGGTTTTACGGGCGAAGATTTTACGTGACAACGTCTTTTTCTCGGTAGAATATTTATTGATATGAATATAATTAAATTGCACAATAGGAACAAGGAATTGAATGAAAATAAGAATTGCACAAATTTTAACTATAGAAATATATTTTGTTTACTAAAACATTGTACATGTAAACTTAAACTTAACACGAGAGACTCATCGTAACGTTACCGAGCGTTACACTTTTTCATAAGTGACTCCCAGCCGCAACCTAATTTAAGACGTTGTCACGTCAACATTGTACATGTAAACTTAAACTCATCGTAACGTTACCGAGCGTTACACTTTTTCATAAGTGACTCCCAGCCGCAACCTAATTTAAGACGTTGTCACGTCAAAAAAAGCTTCAGAGATTAAAACGGGAGATGAAGATTGTAGCTCGCGCGGGCGAAGTTGCTGGCTACTTGAATTATTTTTTTTCATGAAAACTAAGTACAACACTTATTTCTATTCTGCCAAACTGTGCAACAGTTTGTCGGCAGGCAGTAGCTCTCGTGGACGTTACTTTGTACTAATTATTTTGTACTTATCTCACTATATTTATAAATAGGACGGAAAATATTTATATGATCCCAAAAAAACACCAAACAAACACAGTTGGTTACCTCAAGTTTAGGTTAACTTTAGCAACGTTAGCAACCTCAAACCCCATAAAAAAACACAAGAAGTATGGTGTGATGTCACGCTTTCCGTATTGATTTTCTCAAGAATCTTAAGTATCTGCTTTACTATATGTCGGTAAGGTATGTATCAATAACTACCTCATATATGAGTATTAGCTATTCAAATTGTATTGATCAGAGTGTCTTATTCAACGGTCCGATGAAGACCAGGGTCGAAGGTCGAATGACATAACAGGAGTGACATCATTCTGTAGACAGGGTTGGCCCGACGGTAGTCTAGTGCGTATGAATATTTATGGGTCATTTGGAAGAAATCCATATTTATGTTTTGTTTAAAATGTAACATTTCGAAACGGGTTTTGTACGTTTTTGAAACGTTGATTTTCGTTTTGTATATTCTTGGGGTAAAACTATTGATAAAGGATTAGTCACTCTACGACGAAGCCAGAACAATCATTCATTTATGGGGTAATAATTAAGATATTTATGGGGTAAATGACTTATTTTATTTATTTATTATATATTTTAAGGTTTTATAGTTTTAGTTTCATTGTTCTAGTAGAGAACATATACATCGCAATTTTCATGTTGTTCAAATTAATTAAATTTCTTTTTTACATTATTTCACATTTTATTTAATGTACGGTAAACTTTTATCATAATGTCAGGTACCGATATAATCATTTATAATCACCAGTAAATATTATATTATATGCCACTTTATACATATATAAGGGTTTCTAAAAAAAAGCTCTCGCTTTTAATATATGGTGCTATGACCCTGCTAATACCAAATGTCC